ATTTACAAATCCATGTTTTACAAACCAGTCCATGTTTTACAAATCCAGTCCACATTTTACAAATCCAGTCCATGTCTTACAAATCCAATCCAGTCCATATTTTACAATATGCCCTCATTCTAAAGTAATTTTCCTTACTGTCTGCCATACAGTTCTCATGATGCTAGTACTGATAATTTGGTAATTGAATAATCCCCTAACTGATATTTTCTTTTTTCTTATCAATTTTTTTTCCACTTGACATTGTACTGTTGCAGCATCAATAATTTATGTCTCGCAGGTCTACAAATTTGTGCGTGAATTCAGATTTTAACGTTGTTCCAAGGGCCACATGATGTACGCTGGGCTTCATAATGGTATGCTTAAAGTTGGCCTGCAGATGAATCAAATCCTTGGTGAGCAGGCCCTGAGATCCCACTAACAAAATTCTGGAATCTCAACTATCTTCTGTAGGCTCCTTTGATTGCCATGTACTGAATGAGGATTTCAACAAAGTTAGCTGGTTTTGTTTTGGGCTTGGATCATTCAGTCAGTACCAGTTTAGACATTGCTGCAGCAAAGGGAACCAGCATGGCTCAAATAATCGGGCTTTCAATCCTACTCATTTCACAGGTAAACTTAAGTCACAAGTAGATTGACTGCCTGTGATTACATTCCTAATTACTAGAGTGCGAGGTAAAACTTAAGAACATGCACCTAGATCGATGTGTACTATCTGCAAAAACCATAAACATATATTACAATAACTGTAATAATACATTCTAGAAACATTTACCTTCAGACATTTGCAAACCCTCTTTCGAAGCACCATGACGAAGAATATAAGAAAGGGCTTTGGACAACTGGATTAAATTGTGACCTCTCTAACAAAAAAAATTGATTCTTTTTTTAATGAATTTTGTCTGGCTTTATCAAAGTGTACTCCAAATTATGAAATACAGGTAAAATTCATGGCAAATATATCTCAGTATACTTTTTGTCTTTAAAATTGGCTGAGCTTTAAAATCATTAGCTAAAACTAATAATGTACAGGAAAATATGTGAAAGGAAAATAGAGTCAGTTAGGTAAGCCACATGCAACGGAAAAACGGTATCATAAGTAGGTTTGTCTAGTGAAAATGATCTACAGATATTCATTGACCCTGGGTAGCCAAACAAAGTAAAGAGTCATTATTTTTTGAAGGGAGATAGCCAAAGTTTTGTAAAGCCACTCCGACCCCAGGCATGAAAAGCGTGCCGGCCTCTCTATCATTCAAGCTCATAACCTTTGTGAACCAGACTAGTTTTCAATCTTTTATGGAGTTTTCCGAAACAATGCTTGCTCTTGTCTGAGACTGGAAGTCTTTTGAAATGCTGGACGTCCGAAGTTTTAGATACAATACATAATTATTTGACGGATATTCCTCACCTTTCGCGGCTTTCCTGCGCTTGCCTCATCTGCAAGACGCTGTCTCCGCGAACCACTCATTCAAATCAAATATTATTTCTGTACATAAAAAAGCCCAACCTGAAGACCCCTCAATTATTTAGTGTCCTAAGTCCTCGCAAAAACGAAACCATCTGTTGCTATACTTCTTGCACCATCCATAGCTAAACGTTTGCAATTGTGTCACGATGTCACGCGTTCTATTTAGTTACCAGGACCCGCTCATTAGTCTCCTCCATCACGCAGTCAGGACCATGCGAGCTCCTTATTCAAAACTGTCGTAATTTTCAAATCATTAATAATTATATCTTGTCTGAGTGTGTCTCAACAATATTTCTACACCTTTTGTGATCTCTCCAATAAAGCCGTGTAATTTGGGAAACTTCACAAACGTTCATCAGACAAACTTCTAGGCGAATACGACCTCCCGTAAACAAAATCACGCACGCACAACAGGTTAATTGATTCGCATTTCACGGGAAAAACGGGAAACAGCACTAATGAAGAACTGCTAGTGGAAATGAGTATTTGGAATTCGGCGCATGGGTGTTAATCTTCGTATAAAATTAATTGAATCTTGGGGACAGAATACTCCAAAATCCCGGTTGAATGGCAGTGGAGAAAGATTGAGCTTGAAAGATTTTGGGGTCGAAAAGACTCGATTAACAGCATCCTCAAACCAGTGACGGAGGTGGTGAGATTTGGCGAATATTTAAAACAAAATGACCTTCAGGTTAATTTTTTCTATTGTTTTTATTTATCAAATTTACCAAATGAAGCTTAATTTAAAATGTTACACTCTTTCTGCCTGGTAAAAAATAATTGTATCTAGTTTATTCCTTGATCGTCCCAACGTGTCTCAGCCTGAAAATCGTACTCAATTCTAATCTGAAATCGGTGTGTTTCCAAAGATGGCGTGATATAATTTAACCCTCGTAGATTGCAAATTATAAATTAGTTCATAGATATATTTACTCTCCTTTTAGCAAATAATGACATTTCTCTGGGTGAACATCATCTTTGGATTGTTCTTTAAGCCAAGAGCTTGATTAAATATCTAATTCCTTAATTTGACGTCATAATCCTCCTGTGTTCGTCTTACAGTTAAGTTTTTTGGGGGTAACTGAATTCAACCGTGATCATTTTTATTTTGGGAACCCAAGAAGAACTCTAAATATGATAAATTAAAAAAAAACTTTAGAGGATTGAGAACGATATGTTAACGTATCGAAAACGAAGACAGCGGTAGTAGCCACCAAAAACATAACATGACAAAACCACAAACCAATAAACAGCAATTGCAAATCTAAAATTAGTTAAATCAGATTATGTTTTAACCATTTAACTCCTGTGAGTGATCAACATTCAACTTCCAGCTGTGATTCCGACAGGTTGTCCTGCAAAACAGGTTATGGGATCAGACGTGGTAATCAGCTAGCGCCGGGGTGTCTTCGTGACATAACACCAAATTCTCTTGTTTACTTTGCAAGGAAATGTGTGGTAATCAGTTAGGAGATTAACTCATTAGATCTTGGAAGTTAAAGGGTTAGGGACCTCCATACGCTACCCATTTCTGACGACAGATTTTTCTGAGAAGTGCTTTCCATCATTCAACTTTTTAAACATTAAAATTCCCTACTGTTTAAATACTAATACACATTTGAACATTTGACTATTGAAAATGTTTAACCGCATGGCACGGAAGTGCTTGTCCACCGACACTTCCATAACTTCCCGAAGTTATCCGAAGGTGCACCGAGCGACTATGATCAGTTCCCGACCGGTTTAAGTCAGAGGCTCAATATCCACCAAAAGATCGCCCGCATCTAAGTTCTGGTTCAATTTGACGGAAATCTTCGTCACCGTTCCGTCGATGGGAGCAGTCACGTTGGTCTCCATCTTCATGGCGCTGAGCACAACTAGAGGGGTTCCCTTCTTCACCACCTCGTTCTCTTTCGCTCGGATGCCGACAACTTTTCCCGGCATGGGGGCTCCGACGGATCCTTTGACGGACTTGTCGGCCTTCGGATGTCGCTCAAGTGTCTGAGAAAGGAGGAAGAAAAAAGAAAACAGCAGTGGTCAGACTGCAACAAGGGAAGTATTAGAAACAGTAATAATGATAATGACAATAGTATTAATATTAATAGTCACACTTATAATAATAAAAGATCTTCAACCGTTAACACAGGAATTTTTTTAATATGCAAAGGACCATTTGGGAGGCACGGGTTCGAGTTCCATCGAAGCCTGAATGATGTTAGTGTAGAGAATTTGGTATTGAATCAAATAATAATTCCCTAATTGATATTTTTCTTTATTCTCATCACTTGTCTGCTTGATATTGTATTGATATTGTAAGGAGAAATTCTGTCTTGGTCACTCATCGGAGTTAAAGGGTAAGGGCTTCTTTTCTGTAATTTCTTCATCCTTGCGAGGGTCATGTCTCTATTCGGACTATGAAACTGTCGCTTAGGGATGGTATTGTTGGTGCAGTTTTAACACCTGGGTGGTTTCAGGATTTGGTCCTTTCCATTGCCATGGTAACACTGATTTCTACAGAAATACAATTCCATTAGTCTTCACTCTTAGCAAAGAGGTGAACATTTCATGTCTACCCGACGATGAAAAGGTATTATAAGTCTGGATAGGTATGGCCCACAAAAATAACAACGAAAAATGTGTACGCGAAAGAGAACTTGTTTTCACGCTAAGGCAGTCAATACCTTGGTTACAGACTTGTCCTCCACCAAAACTGTCCTCAGTTGTCCGTTCATCTCACAGAAGACTTCTCTTTGTCCATTCGGGTGCAAGTCACTGATGGCCAGTACTTTAATGTTCAAAACTTTTCCAGGCTCGATCGCTACTTGGAATTCTTCTCCGATTTCAGGGCCAGTGAAGAAGAGTCTGGTGGGAAGACCATCAACTGGACCAAACTCCTCCCTGAACACCATGTAATCATTGAAAACTTTGGGGTACAGAGCAGCGCTAAGTACGTCCTCGTCACGGATGGCATTTTCTCCTGCACAGAAACAAAAAAAAAAAACGCGCGCTTAAGTTTATAGATATTCTACCGCTGTGATCAACGTGAAGGGCTGTGAGGTTTGAAAAGGAGGCTGAAGAAGTCAGGCGACAATTAGACCTGTAGTATTCTCCTTTCTCAGAAGCATGCATCACGACCATTGCCGTCAGACCGATGGTAGCACTAAGGTAGTCCGCACCACCCCAAACCCTGACCCTGATCACAGATCAGACATTTCAGAAATTTTCTTTCCATTCAATCAAACTGAGGTACATAGATACACAAACACTATTAAAAATATACAGATAACTGCAAATTTTGAGATCTCTGACGTACCTTTTTGTTATTAAAGCACTTGCATGGTGGTACAAGCTTTCGTACTTACCGAATTCCTCTTGCAGTTTGCTTTTCAGTGCTTCAAAGTCAAGTGGCTCCAAAGATTCTCCTGGCCTGCCCTCGATGGTGGGGCGTCCCTTCAAAGCCTGCAGGGACAATAGAGGGCTTTCAATGAGGTTAACAGTAGATGGCATGTAAGCATTTGTAGACGGCCAGGTTAACGTGGAAGCCATGTTATTTCGTGAGATGACATGTACGACTGAGAACTGTTCAGTCAAAATGTCCCACGCATTTCCACGAGGTTCGCATGAACCTTCAGAAAAATTTCTGAAAGTGGATTCGGTTCATACATCTAAACCGGTTATTTGTTAATTATGAATTCAGTACGGTTCTGTATGGTGCTTTATAAATTGAAAAAAAAACAAAAACAAAAACAAAAACAAACAAACAAACTTACAAAAATTGTTTACACTTTCTTTCCGGAAAGAATATTTGTAACGAGGACAGTGCGAGATACGAACAACTGAAAGCAGGTGAAGTGGCGATCTGGAAAAGAACTTGGTGCGCTTGAGCAAGCAATGGAGAAGAGAGTAATTTCTGGAAAAATATTAATTAATTAAAAAACCAAGGAGAGTTTTTCAATCTTAAGAGGCTGGTGATATTTTAGACTGTCGAAGAGCCGTCTCAAAAAAAAAAAAAAAATCTGGCACCCATCTTTTGTCTCCAAGTGAACTTAAAAAAAAAAAACATCAAATTTCGGCTCGATTTTTAAGTCTTTTGGGATATCAACGTCGGAAATGTTCTTATTGATTGAAGGCTACAAGCCTGGATTTTGTCAATAATCATTTTGACTTTGATCTTGCGATTGATATTTGGTCTTAGAAAGTAAAACTTGAATTTCGGCCCGCCTACTTCTTCAGAGATCTGGTGTCGAGCTACAATCGGAGAAAAGAGGAGATATACACAACAAGCACAGATGGTTCTGGATAATCGGTTGGTTCCCTTCCATTATGGCTGTAACAGGAAACGCAATTGTGATTTGGCTCATAATGACAAGAAGACGAATACGAACTACAGCAAACTGGTTCGTTACATCCCTGGCTGCGGATTTCTTCATTGGTTTAGTTTTGTTCCCTACCCTATACACCTGCAAGATTCGATGGAGTTTGTGTTCGTCGCAAAAGGGTCACGTTATCACGATTCTGCTAAGTATTCTGTTGCACGCTTCGGTGGGGAATCTTTGCGCGATAATAATCGGATCGTTACGTCACCATCGCGTTGCCTCTCAAGTACATCGTTTACATGACGCCAAAACGGACGCCAAGGCATGGATTTTCCCAGCAGTTGTGTGGATTCTTAACACAGTCATCGTAATGTATTTTAGTGCATCGGCCACCGTGTTTACTGCAACCGTCAGAAGAAAGTGCGTTCTTGAATTTCTTCCCATGATCCTCTTGACTTCAGCCACTATTCACATGCTCGTGATTGTTCGAAGGCATAAAAAAGAAATCTCTTCTCTCCTGGCCGATTTACCACCTAATCGCCCCATCTCCGACGAAAACCGGAAACTTTTCCGACTGATTTCCGAAACGTCTTCGGCAATGGTTGTAGCAGTCTTGGTTTTCATCTTTGTTTTTTGTTACTCTATCGAAACTCACTTATTTTCTGTACAGTCTGCCCGTTAGCTTTGGTCGATGTCGTTTTGTTTTTCTTGCTATTAAACGCCGCGGCAAATCCTCTCGCTTACGCATTCTTAAAGAAGGAAATCAGGAGAGAGTTGGGAAGAGTTTTTAAAGACAAGTGCATTCCCAGAAAAGTAATAAGGCATAATTAGTTCTTATTAACCGAGCGGGAGGTCTGTATGGGAGAATCTTGACCGACGTCGCCAGTACAGACCGAACGCAGTGAGATCTGTACCAGCGACCGAGGTCAAGATTCTCCCATACAGACCGACCTAACTCGGTTAACAAGATATTTATTATATGGCTGTGTCTTATATGCCAATTTTTTTATATTCTTTTTTTCTGTTTTTTTCTAGACCGTTCTAGATGCCGGTCTAGATGGGAAAATCTAGACCGCTTTCAATATTGATTTCAGCCAATCAAATTAGTGAATTCGGTAGTTCCCAGTCCTTGTGAGACACAGCCATATAATAAGAGACGGTAATATCCACAAAAACGTGTAAAACCCGTGATAACTAGTCAAAAAATATCGCGAAAAAGTTGATTGTCTCCGTAATGATAATTCATTTGTTAACCAATCTAATTATTATTTTCCTTTAAATACAACAAAGAAATAAGAGTTATGTTTGTAAAGAGTACTTTTAATTTAAAGAACGCAAGTTCCAAAAGGTTCTTTGGACACAGGAAAGGCATCACTTTCAAGTGACGTATGAACCCGCTTTCTTTTACCAAAACAAAACGCTTTAAAAAAAGGTTCGATTTCAAACGAAGGGAATTAACTGACCTTTGTTCGAAGTGGCTCGGGAAAGCCGCCATGCGGTTGTCCCAAATAACCTTGCAAGAACTCCACCACTGACGAAGGGAAGTCAAGTTCATCGGCCTTGGCCAGCACATCGCGATCATCCAACTTATTCTGCACCATAAACTGAGCCAAATCGCCAACCACCTTGGAGGTTGGAGTCACCTGAGGAGAAATTATATCTCCTGTTAGTTTCTTGAAGTGGAGCCGTTTTTTGTTCTAGTTAGTATAGATATAAATGACGAACCAGTCAAGATTAACCATCTTCGAGCTTCTTGACTATACAATCTTCCGGAGCTTACAAAGAAGATTGAATCACTTGGTAAAGGATAACACCAAACAACTTTTTCGCTTTGATAAGGGTCGCTTCGGTTTTGTTTTGACACGGTGGCCAAGCTACCAGTCCAGTTAGCACGCTTGGTCACGGATCTTCGCTCTTTGTTCCTGGAAAAGACACTTGCATTCTAAAGTTTCTCTCTGCACCCAGCACCATATCTGATAGGTATCAGTAAACTCGAAGCCGGAAGGGGGTGGGACAAACTCGTTCCCATGGCCTCATCCTCAAGTAAGGGAAATGGTTATGGGAACGAGGTCGGGAGATGAAGGGGGGGAGGGGCGGGGCTTTAATCAGATCAGCATCCATACAGGGGAGGGGTAATACTCCTAGCCACTGCAAAAGATGACGAGATGGACTACCGTAATAATGGTGCACAAAGCTTCTACGGCATCAGCATTAAAATCGTTACTAAAGAAATTTATTTCCAAATCTTTCATCAAAAAACAGTTATACCTTCACTACATCACCCAGCAGTTCATTAGCCAGGGCATACTTCTTTTTAACGTCGGTAAACTGATCAGCCAGGCCGAGCGAGTCGGCCTGGAAGTGAAGATTGGTATACTGTCCCCCAGGGATCTCGTTTTCGTACACGTCAGCATTTCCGGTCTTCATGGTCACGGTGCTCTCCAATGGAGCGTACAAATTCCTCGCTCGTTCCCAGTACTCGCTGTACTCGTAGACACGTTCCAGTGGAATGCCTTCGTAAGAAAAAAAAAGATTTAAAAACTTGTGTCATGGAGTTGCTCGCACATTTCATACAGATAGCGCTCTCATTTCAGAAAGATCATATAGAGGGCTGAAATTCTAATAAGAGATATTCAATCAAGAGATGTTTAACTCAGTAAGATAAAACTTAGCTTTCTCCCGTTATACTGTTTTTTAGTTTCCTCACATTTGCACTTGTGCTCACCGTGCAGTTTTTACACGCCCACAGTATTCACCTTCTAAAACGAGCCTCTATACGTTTGTCATCAACAATCTGTCGGTCGTCTCTATTATTTAAGGCTCCGGTTCGGCCGAGAAATTCGGTTTTGTTTTGACCTGGTTCACTTGTTGTAAGCTGTGTTTTGATTGGCTTTGTTCCCTAAGAGACGATTTTACCCTATATGAAATTCCCGCAGGACATCCAGCGTCGCAATAAAGTTGGTGGGTCTTTTTTATAATTACCATTTCTTCCCTTCTCTTTCTCAAGATTGAATTGTTATGCTGATGTGTTCTCAGGCAACATACTGAACTTACGAGATCAAATGGTACTGGCAGGAAACCCTTACATGATGCTCCTTTTTCATTTGAAAAAAAAAAGTCTGCTTACAAGCCAAGTGGCCCATCAGACCAGCGCTTGACTCCAGTTTCCGTAGTATAAAGTAACTAGAAGTATTTCTACTCCCCCATGGATGGGATGCCAGTCCATCACAGGGTTACCCCCCAGCATTAAATTTGCCGGTACCCATTGGAACACCCGGGTGAAGAGTGGCACTGTGAGAGTAAAGTGTCTTGCCTAAGAATACAACACAATGTTCCCAGCCAAGGCTCTAACCCAGACCACTCGATCAGGAGTCGAGCGCGCCGACTATGAGGCCACCGCGCAATTAAGCTAAGTATGAACTCTTCATGTTGTGATTCTAAAATCTTCAACAATACCTGTTTCCTTCTCTGAGTTTTCCAAAGCCGCAACAATGGCGCCCATGCTGGGCTGCGACGTCATGCCAGACATGGAGTCTACTGCAACGTCTACCACGTCGGCTCCAGCCTCCGTCGCGGCCAGCATGGAGGCTACACCTGCTCCAGCGGTATCATGGGTATGCACGTGAATGGGGAGCTTGGGGAACTGGGCTCGAAGGGAACCAATCAACAGTGTAGCAGCATTTGGTTTTAAAACTCCGGCCATGTCCTGTGATAAAGAATAAACAGGCACACGTTACTAGTTGAGCAGATACTGAGTTGAGGTCGCACTATATTATTAGGAAAAAGAAACAAACAAAAAGAAAGAAAGAGAGAAAAAAAATAACAGAAAGAAAGTAGAGAAACAGAAAGACCTTGATTCTCCTAAACTCAAAGCTACGTCTTATACTGGGAATAACTTAAGTATTCTTTTTCATTAAAATTTACGCGGACGAGTAGCGTTCTTTCTGAAGACCATGACCTAGTTGGCCAAAGCCTATGTCGTGAAACAAGGGTAGATGTGAAAATCATTCAGTTTATTCTTTTAGTTCTTATGCAAACAAAACTCATTCGACACAAAAAACGGTTTGACCCACTGCCTCAGTTTGAAAATGCGAGCTGTTGTAATGGATAATTTGGCGAGGAAAGTAATGGCAAAATAAAACCTATGTAAAATAATGGCTTCTTTTAAGGCTAAAAGATGCAGTGATTACTACAAGCTTATTTGTTGAGCAAAACGAAAGTACAAATAAATGAATAAGTTATTCTTTCCCACCATACCTTGATACAGAGCACATGCGCACCAGAGCGTGCCAGTTCTGTTGCCAGGTTCATGTAGTAATCAATGTTATACTTTGTCTTCATTGGATTGGACACATCACCGGTGTAAGATATGGCAGCCTCAACCACTCCGCCAGCTGCACCAGCTGCTTCAATACCAAGCTTAAGGGAAAAAAAAATGGGCGTCAATCAGAGATGGAAGGAAGGCCAAATTCTCATGAGGAGTACCTGCTTTATTAACTCATACGTGTTACTGGTGAGGTAAAAAACGAACACAGCGTGAATTAAAAGTTTAATACAGTGCAGTGCTATAATATGTTTGAAACACGCAGTGGAGCACGATTGAAAAGATATATTGATATGTTAAGGCCAAAGTTTAAAACGTGCTGTAGAAACATTACGAGAAATAATAGCCTCGGTACAGTACTAAAACTCTAATGAAGATCAGTAGAGGAGCATCTCCTGGTAGTACCAATGGAAAGGCCTTGGATTTGACACGAAACCCTCGTATCCCATTTTTCAAGGAGCGTGGGGCGTGGGGGAGGATTGCCTGCAATGGGCTAACATCCCTATGAGAAGCAAACAAACTTATAGTCGGTTCAAGCGGCATAATTTGTAGATATAATATTGTAGTTACCTGTAGGTTAGGCAGGTAGTTCAAAGAATCGAAAACCCTGAAAATGTCCATGCCGTTCTGGTGTGCCTTTTCACAGAACTTGAAAACTACGTTGTCGGGGTAACTGGTGTAACCCACTGCATTGGCCCCACGCAGGAGCATCTGAAACGGGATGTTGGGAACAGCTTCTCGCAGCTGCGCCAGACGATCCCAAGGACATTCGTACAGAAAGCGTAGAGCCACATCAAAGGTTGCACCTGTACATAGATTGAGGTTGGAAAGATGGTTGATATTGAGCTCGGTCGCCCGTAGAGAAAGAAGTCATTGTGTTTAGTTGCGTAATATTTAATTTTTTTCACTGTCGCTCACCCCCTCGGTACAAATTTCTTTCTCTCCCCAGCCTTCCGGTCCCATTAAAATCAGAGATGACGGCCATAATTTTCGGTCAGAAAATACCGAGCGCTCTCTCGCCAAAATTACGCCTGCTCAGCAAGCTACTTAGTTACAAGCGTGTAACTAAGGGGAAAAAATATGAGCTCCCCAGAAGGATTAGGGATCCAGACCGCACTCTGATACTCTACCACTACTCTACCACTACTCTGCAGAGAACTTGATGTTGATCTAGCTTACTTCCCCAGCCCAAAAAGGACCTTAACCTGTATTCCTTCAGACCTAAATTTGTTGACTGCAACAAAAGCTGGCAGAAAGAGGTTTCGTAATTCTATGACAAAGTGCAATTTTCAAACAAGGGTCCAAATCAATCCCGCCTTGCATCGGTATCGCTTTACCTCGCTTTGTGATTGGTCTAGAAAACTAGCATCACCCTCTTAACCAATCAAATACAAATCTAAAACCAGTCGAGACTATGACACTCGCTTTTTCCCGCGCATCAAGCAGATCACGTGTTTTCAAATTGAATTTTCATTGGCCCCTTGGAATTACTCTGGTATTTTTTTTTAACGACACTTGATCGAAATGCGCTCTGAGGGAAGCTAATTCAGACGCTGTATAAATTTCAAGATCGGTTATTTTACAACTACTGTCGCCATTAAGGATTTTCAATCTAGGCTCTCTTGCATATACACTGACCTCCCCAATTCTCCAAGCTGTAGGCATTGGCAAAGTAATGCGACACAAATGGGGCCACTTTCAGCATGTCATGAGTCCTCACTCGAGTGGCCAGCAGTGACTGATGAGCATCTCTAAATGTGGTATCGGTCAGCAGAAGCCTGTTGCTCTTTCGAACAGCGCTGGCAAAACCTTCTGGTCCTTGCTGTAATAAAATATCTCGGAATCCGCTCGGTTTCAGGTGGCCGTAAGAACCGGAATTGGACGTTTTGGGGATCTAGCAAAAGAGAAAGCTTCTTTCAGTACTAACAACCTGCAACTATTAATAACCCCGTGTAAAATAGCCTGCTTGCAGGCGTTTGCTCGTGTTTTTCAAGCGTAAGACTCAGCGCGGCGAACATTCGATCGCTATATTGGACAGGTGAAAGAGTAGGGACGAGTGACAAAAACTATGGGGGAGGAAGGGTATTTCTCACTCGTCCTAAAGCTTCCACCCGTCCAATATGGCGACCGAATATTCGCACTTGAAAATACAAACTACCGCGTGCAAGCAGGCTACGAGTAAAACTCCCTGGCTGTGCTTTCTATATACAGTAGCCAACAAATCCATAAGCTAGTAAGTGCGGAACTCTAAAAATCTTAGGCTAAATTTGTGTTCAGTATACAAGCCATCACTCAGCCCGTTACAACTTGCGCATTAAGGCTCATACCTCGGGTGCTTCTGGGGCGTCCTTGGAAGGTTTCAAACCAGTAGCCAAAGGTGTGCACGGTCCGTTAACCATCACGTTTCCAAGATACTGGAGCAATTTTTGGGCTCGATTTTGACCCCATTCCACTTTGATCAAGTGAGGTCTATGGAGGATGAAATCTGTCTTGACAGCTCCTCCTAAAAACTCTTCTTCTTTAAGAACATTGATGATGAAAGGAATATTGGTCTGAAAACAAAACAAAGTCACTGTGTCAATTAAACTGACTCAGGCATATTTCGTCCTTCTAAGAGAGGCTAGTAGTTGAATTCTAGCCTCACGAGATACCGAGGCCGCTTTTTATGCGTAGTACATAAGCTTCGTCCCGGGACTATTTCAAACGACAACAATCACGCAAGACTTTCTGCGCTCACAACGATAATTCAACGCTATTTTAGCTGCCCTCAGACCGTAATTATCAGCGTAAGTTAAACAGAATCCTAGGAAAGTGTGAGACTGGGACACGTGGCAAAGGCTGACGAGATTTTAAGATTGAAATCCCAGGCGTTTGACACGGAAAATTCTAGCTGTGTTTTTTTGTCCGCTAGTTAATCAGCTTTTGTGATATTTACTGAAACAATAATTCACCTTAACGTTGATGGAAGTGGTGGCTTAACTTCGGCGAATACAGTTGAACCTCTCCACAGCGGCGACCTTAAGGATAGAGGAAAGTGGCCAACTTGTGTAGAGGTGGCCGTTGTAGATGAATGCATGGACAGCCCTCCGGGACCAAAAAAAGTTACCGTTGTGGAGAGGTGGGCATTGTAAAGGGGTAGCCGTGAGTGGAGTAGTTGTTTAATTAAAGACAGAAAAATAATTCGTTAGCCATACCTTGACCCCTCTCACTCTAAACTCACGCAGCGCCCTCAGCAGTTTGGTTGCAGATTCTCTGTGAGTCGAACCTTTGCTGATAACTTTTGTTAGAAGTGAGTCGTAATGAGGAGAAACCACTGCCCCGGGAAACATAGAATTTCCATCCAGCCGAATTCCCATTCCATCGCCTGTTCGGAAAACCTGCGAATAAACAGCAAAAATCGAGACGAGTGAAGCACGGTTAAAGTTACACAATGTGAATGGAAATCCTCTTTCCAAGTCCCTGAACCTTAAACAACCTCGAGCTCCATAATCAACATAGTAAATCTTCGGTTTTTTCCAGAGATATTCGACGATCTCCGTAGTCAACGTAATGCAATCTTCGCTTTCCGTAGTCAACGTCATGCGTCTTCGGCCATCTCTGAAAATCTTCGGCAAAAACCGTAATCACGGTGATACGATCTCTAAAACTCTCTGAAGATTTTTAGCAATCTCAATAATCAACGCAGAATGGTCTTTCAATTTATTCTCGGCTATCTCCGTGATCAAAATGATAAAATCTCCGAATTTCTGGTAATCTCCATCAATCTCCGTAGTCGACGAAGCACAATCTTTTCGGCAATCTCCGTAATCAACCTCACAAACCTTCGACAGTCTTCGTAAATCTCCGTAATCAACGCCGTAGAGCATAATTATGTACTTTATAAAAAAAGGAGCACTCCATAAAATCAGGGTTTCCCAACACTCTAATCCACGCAAAGTACATCAAAATGTTACCTCAATCCTTCCTGTATCCGGAGTGAAGTTGTTCGCAGGATCTTCAGTTGTTATACGAGCTTGAATAGCTGAACCAGTCACCTTTATATCTTCTTGACGAAGTCCAATTTCCTCCAAGGATTTTCCTTCTGCCACATTGATTTGGGTTCTTACTAGGTCGACACTATAAATTCAAGAGAGGAAAATCATTTCAGCATTCCGACAGTGACCGTTTGGTCGCCATGGTGGGTAGATTAGCAGCAAAAGCCGCCAACTTAGCGGCCTGTGCTGTTGGAACACGAAGAAAGCTAGAAAGTTTTCATTTGTCGTGTTTATGGTTCAAAGTGATAATGAGATAAAATTTTCATCACAAGAAATTGATTTATCGTTGTCTTTCCTATTTTTTTTTTCGTTTACGTCACTGTTACTCTCCTTCGCTGCCGCTGCTAAGTCTCGTCACGCAACGCACATTCTCCACCGCTCTCTCCTCTCCTTGGTGGGAGAGGGAGCGCGTTGCGTGACGAGACCAAACAAAGGCTGCAAAGGGGACACTGCTGGCCGTTTTGCTGGTTCTCTTGCTTACAAGATAAGTTTCAAGTACGTCATGTAACAGTTCACAAGCCGTCTTTTCTGTAAAAGAAGGGCCACACCCCCTTCCCTCTCGCTTCGCTTCTAACCTGACTACAACCTCCCAGTAAACATCAGGAAAACCAAAAGCCAAAAGTTTACCCTGTAACTTCTTCCGTCACCGTGTGCTCCACTTGAAGACGGGCGTTGACTTCGATAAAGTAATGATTACCTTGTGGATCCAGCAAGAATTCCACCGTCCCGGCATTCTGATAACCAACTGCTTTACACAGTTTGACAGCATCGCTTGTCATTTTGTCTCTGATTTCCCTTGGCAGTTCTGGAGCTGGAGCGATTTCTATAATCTTCTGATGACGTCTCTGCACTGAGCAGTCTCGTTCATAGAGGTGCACCACATTTCCGTAGGCATCACCCATCATCTGAACTTCTATGTGTCTTGGTTGTTCTGGATAAAAGAGAAAAAAAAAAAAAAAAGAAAAAAAAAAACGCTATATCCAAAACTAATGTTGTCACTGACTGCTAAAATTTGACATCAATTTTTCCCACTGATTACGATACAATGTTGATCAGTCCTGGGAATATGATGTTACATTGTTCTAGACAATTTCCCTTGTTGTTAACTTAGTTGCTGACATTCTGCAATTCTTGAGAAATGACTGTTTAACAGTATATCAACATTTCAATGAACAAAATTGTACAGTTTGTATGTGGACATTGATGCAATCAAATTTACTGGTATAACTCCTCTGTGAGACACAGTTGCATGTACCTACCAACAAATTTTTCAATAAACATTGAACCATCTCCAAAAGCAGCATATGCCTCATTGCTGGCCAAGTTAAAGAACTCCTCCACATCTTCCATTTTATAGATCACCCTCATGCCACGCCCACCTCCACCATATGCTGCCTTGGTGATGACAGGCAACCCATACTCCTCACAGAAGGCTTTAGCCTCTTCAGCAGTCTTGATTGGGTTTTCTGTGCCAGGAACCACAGGCACACCTGCATCTACTGCTACTTGCCGAGCTTCCACCTTGTCCCCCATCATTTTGACTATTGATGGGGAGGGGCCAATGAAAATAATACCATTTTTGACACAAGCTTCAGCAAAGTTGGCTCTCTCTGAGAGAAATCCATACCCTGGTTGAATCGCATCAGCTTCAGTTTCCTAGCAAATAATTTAGAAGATAATGATTAAACACTTCATCCAATATTATACATATGTAGCTCTACTATTTTTGTTTTTTTTTTTTTTACCCTTTCTTAACCAAGAGTGAAATTCTCCTTTCAAAATTAATTCAGTATCAAGCAGACAAGTGAAGAGAATAAAGAAAACAATCAAATTTAAGGGATTATCATGAGTTGATCCAATACCACATTCTCCAATTAAAATTCTTGAGAATTAATTGTCTGGCAGAAAGGAAGGAGAATTACTTAATAATGAGATCTTGGGAGTGAAACAATTAAAAAAATGTAAACTCACTCATCCTTTTACCTTTGCAATTTTGATTATTTCTGGAATATTTAAATAAGCTGCAACAGGAGGCATGCCTTTGCCAATGAGATAGGCTTCATCAGCCTTTTGTCTGTGCATAAGATTGGCATCTTGCTCTGAGTAAATAGCAACAGTCCTAATACCAGCCTCAGCAGAGGCACGAAAGACTCTGATCGCTATCTCGCCTCGATTGGCAACCAGGATTTTCTTTATTTCACTTCTTCGTGGCTCAGGTTTGTTAGTCTGGAAAAGTTTATTTCCTGCATGGAGATAGCGACATGTGGACCATAATCCACCACTGCTGGTAAACTGTTTTTGAATAATTTTCTTGAAATGTGGCGTGTGAATTCGTAACATTTTCCTAACAGTAATTCGATCAATCTCTTGATGCTGGTTTGGTGCTGGTTAGTTAACTAAAGCTTATCCTCCCTGAAAATTAAAAGTATATTACAAATTAAGTCATATCAAATATTATAATAATGAAGGATTTAATATATATAGCACCATATCCATTGGTTCACAGCTCTTAACAATGCTTTGCACTGGACTTTGGCCAGATTGCATAATGAGCAGTTAACAATATCTGAAGGAATTTTTGTAGATGCTCTCAATTTTGTAATCAAGGTCACACCACTACTCTTTACAAATGAATGCAGGGTTCTTTAACATCCCTTGCCCAAACATCCAGAGAAGATGACGGAGATGGGGCCTATAGTTTATCATTCTTATCCGAAAAGACTAGGATGTCTAACCATTTCCAGATGTCAGAGCAAAGGCAGCAGATTCTTCTCAGTGTTCAGATTCCATTATACAAAATTGAGACATCATAAGAGAGAGAGAACAGCTGCCCAAACACTTGGACATCATTTGTGCTCTAGAGAAACTGTTAATACCTTTTGTATCTTTCTTAGTTAAAATGATTTCTCATGTAAGCTAAACTATACTGCCAAACTGCATTTAAATCCTTAATTCATTCCTCAGTGTAATTATCAAACTATCTCAATCATTCTACATAAAACAACTACAAAAAAAGCCTTCATTAGAATCCAGATTTCTGATATCCCCCATTTAATTCCTAATATAAAACTCCAGATAACTCACACCAAAACTGCTTCCTTCTCTTAATCAAACACTGTAATTTTACTTAAGTACTTTAACCCCTTGTGACAACCAATTTCCTTTCCCTTGGGAGTTGAAAGACTGTTTTTTTTTTTTTTCCTAATGTCAAACATACTCATATTGGGCACACTAGGGAAAATTAAGAAAAGTTGTTTTAAACTGCCTAGGAAAGGACAGAAATAAGTCATTAAATATCAGTATAAAGACAGCCAATCAAAGTAACAAAGATTACACACTTAACAAATCAAGTGTACTCTCCTCGGGAATTAGATCTTTCCCAATCAGTCATGTTGCAATATGACACCCAGTTAGATTATCATATTGTAAAGATCTCAAAAGCTTGCTAAGACCTTGTTCATTATATTTGAGGATCAGTAAACATGTATATACAGCTGTAAATATGGTCAGTTATTGGATGACTACAGTAAAGGCACAAACATTGCAACCATGCACTTCAAACTTTACAAGACTCTTCTGGTTGACAGATGACAGGCTTGCTTCCCACAGGCAAGGTATGTCTTAGATTTCAACATAATATTATTTTCTGCAGACCAAAACTGATTTTGCAAGACACAGACCGCAGTCATTGTGAAATCATTTGTTTTTTAATGTGACTTTTGGAGCGTTCTGCCGCAATGTAATATTTTTCGTTCTCTTAACTTTTTCGAATCAAGATCCAGTTTGTCTAATACTCAGTTTCAAATAATTTAGTTCCACGCCTAAAAATATGGGCAAGAACACTACGTCACTTCTAGTAAGATTTCGAATAAGCATGGCGAGGAGGTCTTGCGGCCATCCGAAGATTATCAAAAAACAGTTTTCCTAAGGATTTCTCTCCATGAAACAACATCAGCTATGTTTAAACATCTATGTGACTTTCAGCTCGTTATTTATTAATCGTGTTCTTCAGTAATGTGATTTCATCGTGGCTAGATATCAATAATGTCACTTGGATATAGATCGAACGCTTAGAGGATTTCTTGTATCTGTCTAAACAAGCTTATACTTGATCAAGCACATTCGATAAAAAAATACAAATTGTTAATTAAAAAAAATTCAATTCTAGGAGTACAGCTATACAATTTGCCACGAACAAAAACAAGAGTGATTGTTAACAAATCCTAATTAAAAATGTACGAAGTTAAAAATCTAAACAAAACGAATGGTTTGTTCTCTGATAATTATTACAATATCTTCTCAGAAATTGCTTCGATTCTCGTACACGTATCAACTCGTGCTTTGGGGCCAAGGGTCAACGCATCTTATATTTATATATTAAGCTTGTTTCTTCTTTATAAACACATCGTTAATTACTAACCTGTGAGATCAAATCCTAGAAAGAAAATCTTTGATCAAAAGGAGATCATCCACTGCAGAAAAAGCGATCAAGAAATAATTACGTCAGGCCAAAGAAATAGTACCGCGGTTTGTCTTTTCTTTTCTAAATGCTAAATTATGTCACACTTGAGTTCCAGCGAGGGATGTACAACCAAGTGTACAAACAAATTCACAAACGCATTATACGTAAAGGAAGAGAGCAATTCAGAACTTAGAACTATAGAGCTAGCTAGGGTTGTTTACCTTAAGAGTGAAGCCCCAAGACATAGCCACTATGTCAATGACAATTGACTGGCAGAAATGCTCCGTCATAAATAAACTGTGCGATTATTCACGATTTGGTCACGCGTGCGCCCGCAATCAATCAGCAGGTCTTCGAGAGGTGTTCGAACTAACAACTCTAGCCTACCAAGCCTAGCCTGAGCTGCGTCGCAGACAGTCTAAACCGCCGGGGGTATGGACGATACCGGGGATTGTGTGACATGTCCGGCTGCAAAGCGGGCTAACCAAGCCTGCCACATGTTATGTCTGCATGCGTATATGATATCAAGAATTTGAAAGTCTGGCATGGTCCGAATCTATTTCGAAATTTTACAGTGAGTTTTCAAAACAAATCTTCATACATGCTTCTTTAGGTTCCCATGCAGATCAAAAGAAAAAACTTGGAATGTTTCGGACTAAGATTGTTGTTACTCCAGGTGACATTCTTTGTCGTGTCTGTTGTAGGATCATTCAGGATCCAAACGAGTTACATCGTGGCCTGAAAGTCATCAAATGATCTTGTGATATTGATAATATTGATAGGAAAAAATAGAAACAAAGGAAAAAAATCAGGTACTTTTTATTTCACTTAAATGATAAACCGCCTTCAATTTTGAAGGTTTTTAACCCAGAATAAGACACCAGGACAATCAAGCATGAAAACTCTCTTTTTTTATTTAATCACTTACTATAATCAGTTGTCCCTATACTTATTGATATTTCTATTCTTTTATTCACCTTCTCACTTATTTACTGCCGTTTTACAAATAATGATTTGTCTGTTTGTTTATTTGTTAGAGTAGCTCCTCCATTTGAGGTTGTCCTGTACTAGAGCCCAATCTCCCTCGACAAACAATTTTCAACATGGCGTTCACGCGTAGACATCCGATTAGATCTACAACATTTCTTCACCTGTCCCGTGTAGTTTCGATGATGTATTTCAGATAGATAAAGTTTAAATTCTGAGCCATGACGGAAGAATCGAGATTTTCCATTGTTTCACCAGAGTCGGTGAAACTGTACGCAGAAATTTGCGGCGTTCAGACTTTGACAGACGATCTTGCCAGCTCCTTGGCTGAGGATGTGACTTACAGACTTCGCGAGACGCTCCAGGTTTAAAAGGACATTCTCACTCCTTCCGTAAACTCGTGTATTGTTTTTGTGTTTTTGTAAAGGTAGTATCATTTTAATCAGCTGAATATTTTATTTAAATTTCTCAGAGCGCCTCGCAGTTCATGAAACATGCTAAGCGTAGACGGCTGTCAAGCGAAGACTTCAACAAAGCGTTAGAAAAGAGTAGTACAGAGGTAAAATAAGGAATCTTATTTTATTCGACCTTGTATGAGAGATCATATTGGGTTATATTTAATCTCGCCCACGTTTTAGGAAGGTCTTTGAACCTCCAAGGTACGTGAGTGAGTTTGAATGTCTCAAAAGGCGCAGGGTAGGCTTTTTTGACCATTGTAGTCTTAAAGTGGATTATATGGGTATGTGTGTAAAGAAAATATTGTCTTTTCAATTAATCAAAATGAAAAAAGAGAAATGGAGGCGCAGAGAGGTCATTCAAGCTAACTTTTGGGTAAATTTTTTAATTTTGTTTTTCCTTTGGCACTGATGCAAAGCTTGAATGTTACACTGTATATAAGGAAGCCTGATGGATTTGTAAACCTACAACCGTGCAGTGCAGCTTAAAAGCCAGATCTTAAAATGGGTATAGAGCTCAGAGAATAGGCCAGAACATGGCAGGGGATTCATTAAAAGTGGCTTACAGGCAGCCTACTGCCATTTACCACTTATCGCCATCTGTTTAGCTTGAGAACAGGGTCTTGTGTTTTGGTTTTGCCTTAGGGCACTTCTCCAGCACAGCCACCTATTACCTCATTAGCAGGGTTCTTTTTGAAAAATAAAGGCAGATAGTTTGGAAAGAAACTGTTTGGGGCTGCATCGGTGGGAGTAACGAAATAATTTGGATATATCAACAAAGTTGAAATGGTAAATTGGCCACCCTAACGATTACAAAAGCTGACGTTTTGAGCGTTAGCCCTTCGTCGGAGTGAATAGAGGAATTGTAGGTTGTGTGTGCTTTTAAAGGCAGAAAATGGAGCTATGTTATTGGTGGGAAAACTACCTTTAAAAGCAGATACAACCCTCAATTCCCTTATTCACTCCAACGAAGGGCTAACGCTCGAAACGTCAGCTTTTGTAATGGTTATGGTGGCCAATTTACCATTTCACCTTTGTTGATATATCCAAATGATTTCTTTTTGAAAAAGGTGTTGAACCTCCCTGACAAAGACATAGGAAATGTCAAGTTTTGGTGTGAAATAGGGTCATGACTTGAAGAAATGGCTTGTACATGTACAGCTCTTCAAAGAGATAATTTTGAGGTGTTCTTTGCCCTTAAAGTGTATCAGTATTTTGTACAAATGTTTACTTGTACATGCAAGAAACAGGCTGTAGTGTTGTTACCTTCTCCTTACACATTTTCATGTGATATTTTAATTTATTTACATAACTTATTTTGCATGTGTTTGTCTGGCCAGCCAATCTATGGTTACGGATCCATGGAGGACATGTTGTTTCGAAGTGCACCAACTAAAGATGGGGACATTTTCTTTGTTGAAAACAAGGAGATCAGTTTGCGAGAGCTGGCAATGAATGTGGTTATACCCACTGACCCCGGGCAGAGGAGTGTTAAAGGTAGAATCTCAGTCAGTTATTTTGGTCAGTTCTTTCAATAGCACTTAAAATAGCAGAAAAAATTCTTGTTCATGCACTGTCAAATTAGCTTCATGGTTTTAAGTAGTGTAACATTTTTTCACTTTATTTCAGTCCTTATAATCTTTATTTTACATGATAGCAAATCTTGGTTATTTTCATGGGAATAGAAATATCCTTCATATTTAAAATTACTTATATTTTGTGTTCTTGCTTACACTTTTAACTGATCTTAAAAGGAGTCAGGGGCTATGATTTTTTATTATTGCAGCAAATTGGTTGTCTGCTGAGGGTACAGCACCTGCTGGAAGTTATGCTCAACCAAGTATGGGTAAGTTTATACTGGTCAAGCTTATCGTAAGAAAAGGGTGCACTTGCTTACAACTGCATCTTTAAACTTGAGTTGTTTCATCTATGTTACTTTAGGGCGAGTTAACAGTGATGGAGGCACTGTCCAGCGTCCCCTCTCTCAGGTGATTGACTTCATATTTTCGTTTTTAGTACACAGTTTTTTTCATTGTAATTGTAAGAGTTTTCAGTTTTTATTTTGTCAGCCTGTATATCTGTCCTTACTTATTTGAATGAGCATATACTTAAAGGTAATTTTTTTAGCTTAAAAAATTCTTTCAAACCCTTGCTTTAAATCTAAACTCAGCTTGTCACTCAGTGTCTTTGAACATAAAAAAAGGCACTCTTCAAAGAAATACCCTATCGCCGCCCTGCCATTTAACACTGGATTGAAATTCATGCCAACATCTCTTGTATTCATGTAGACTATGTGGTAATTTGTTATTGTTTGGCAAAAGATCACGTTCAACACTTATTTATGTCTGACTGTAGCTGCTATCTTCTGTCTAGGAGTATTATACACTGTAAGCACCTTAAAAATCCTCAGGGAGACCAAGCAAAATGCACTTGGGTTAGTTACATCTTTTGCCATACTCCCCCAAGCAGGACCATTACAGCATGTTGCAGCAGTGTTTAGTCCCACGGGTGACATAGGGCACCAAGTTCATTTTTAATCAGTTTAGACTGTTCACAGTGTACCTTTTTTTAAAAATAATCTTTCTGGCTTTCTCCCAATAGGTGTGTTTGAGTTACTATGAGCAGATAACAAAGGCAGTTTTGGGTGATGATGAACAATGCAACAGAGTAAGAATTTAACTCTTTGACTCTCATGAGTGATCAAGACAGAATTTCTCCTTACAATATCAATACAATATCAAGCAGACAAGTGATGAGAATAAAGAAAAATATAAATAAGGGGATCGTCAGTTGATCCTATACCAAACTCTCCAAACTAACATCATAAGAATTGTGCGGCGGGCAGTAAGGAGACTTGCTAATTAGATCTCAGGATTGAAAGGGTTAATTAACTGAGTTTAAAATACTTTTTGCTAATCTTGATTCAGTTGGAAAGACTTTTATGTTCATCACTTGTGAAAGTTCAAAGTTAAAAAAAAAGATTTGTTATAGAATTTGATTTCTTTCTACATGTATTTTTCCCCTGACAGGTGGCTCTGAGGGATCTGAAAACAAATCCAAAAATCTCTTCCTTACTGGCATATTTTGTGAACTTTGTTGCATCGGGGGTAAGTCTGAGTGGAATATAGGCATGTTACGTCAAAACCTTTGCCTATTTTGTTTAGCAAAAACTGCCTGCCAGATGCTTAAAAAATCAATTTAACTAAATTTCTTCCAATAAATGATTTTATTGGGATGTACACATTCTAAAGCAAGGCTGAGTTTTATGTTCATTGACAGTCCATGTAATGATGTACTTTTCAGGTGAAGATCTACAGCCATGACTTGATGCAAGTAAGCAAGTTGTTGAGTATGGTCAACTCACTGATTGACAATTCATCGCTATTCCTTGAGCCTCATGTAAGCAAATTTTCATTGTATTTATTACCATAAAAGTTTAACTGAATTAGCACTCATCATTCAAACATGTCTGGTTAAAATTTAAGACTTCTCATTTATGAGTTTTATATATTTTCAAATGCTTTTCAGCTATGTCTTTCAAATGCATCTTGCCCTTGGCTCATGATTTATAAGGTTTAGCTTTATCACATTATAGAGCACAGAAAAATGTTTTCTATTGCTTAAATAAAGTATATATTATAGATGAAATAAAGCAAGTTCTACTAAATTAATAGTATTCTTCATTATGTACATGTACACTCATTTGAACTGCAGGTTATTCAACTGGTGACAGCAGTCATGTATTGTCTGCTTGAGTCTTTAGCTGCTTCTCTGAACCCAAAAAACGACCACTGGAAAAAAAAAATGTTTTCTATTGCTTAAATAAAGTATATAGTATAGATGAAATAAAGCAAGTTCTGCTAAATTAATAGTATTCTTCATTATGTACATGTACACTCATTTGAACTGCAGGTTATTCAACTGGTGACAGCAGTCATGTATTGTCTGCTTGAGTCTTTAGCTGCTTCTCTGAACCCAAAAAACGACCACTGGGGATTGAGGGATGAAGCAGCTTCCATTCTGGCTCGCATTAGCAGGTAGACAGACGTGCATTATACAATAGTATAAGGTTATTGCATTATGCATCCTTAGTTGATTTAATGCAGCATATGCTTATCCACATTTCAAAAGGCACTAATTTTTGCTTTCTAGCAAGAGCTCACTTAAAAAAGGTTTATTTGTGTATTGAGATTATGCATTCATTTGTAGAAAATGCAGCAATCCAGTAAACTACTTGAGACAGCAGCTATTAATGACACTACAGGAGGTGTTATTAGATGACGGGCGGCCGTTCTGTTCCCATTATGGTGCTGTGGTAGGATTGACTGAACTGGGACCAGAGGTATAGTTCTTATTCCAGTTCGCATAGGTAATCACATGATTTCGAGTGCAATTTGGAATAAATAAGCACGAGTAAATTTTTTTCAGACTAACAAAATTGCATGAGCCCATAGGGCGACTGCAATTTGTGGTCTTTGAAAAAATTTACAAGTGCTTATTTATTCCAAATTGCACGAGAAAATAATGTGATTATCTATTAGTAATATACATGAAAAAATACGAGGTAGCTTCTCATAACTACGCAGAAGAAAAGCGCGCGCATCACGTGCAAAAAACATTTAGTCAAACCCTGCAAGTGACATTGACCTTGATATTGACATTGACCAATCATTCTGACCAGTCAGAATGTCTGGTTAGTCTTTTTCTTTGCACTGAATTAACTCTCTTCTGCGCTGAATTAACTGAAAACTGCATTCATCTTAACCAATCAGAACTGAGAAATTTTTTCATACATATTTTTAAGTCGGAAACTGGAACAAATTTTTTTTAAAAGAAACTGTGAATAGAGAGTCCTAGCTGTGTAAATTTGGCAAATCTGAATAAAACCTTTTAGTTTGGAAAAATGAAAAAAGTGTTATACAAGGGAGAAATTGCCGCGACAAACATCCACAAAGATGAAAACTATAGTGCTTTTGTATGGGGGGGTTAAGTTTCTGAAGAAATTGTGGTGAGGAGGTGATATGGTTAGGCCAGAATTCTTTGATTAGATATCAGTTGTGCGCGAATCATCAAGAACACTTTAAGGGGAAGTGTTATTTACCGAGCAAGAGGTCCGCATAGGAAAAACTGTGCCCAAGGTCGACCGAGGGCCTTACTCAAGACAAAGGGCATGTTTTTTTTGTTTTATTCTTTTTTTTTCGCATGCCGACCGACCTATGGATGGACTATTTAGATTCGAGAGGTTTTTTTACTCCGGCCTGCTTTAATGCCTCAGAAAAAAATAAATTGGGTTATTCTTGTTTATTTCAGGCCTTAGAGCAGTATGTGATGCCACATCTCCGAACCTATTGGACACAGCTTCAGCAAGTGTTAGACGACAATAGCCAATCAAATGCGCTGCTTCAAGAGGAAGCTTACCAAGTTTATGGCGCTCTTTTGGTATGCGAGGCTTTCATTCTTTTCCTTGTACAACGTTATGTATGTATGCGTCACTAAAAGTGCCTTTTCATGATTGGCCGATAGTATATTTTGGACCGAAAGGCTCTCTCAGTTCTATACAATCAAAACACCAACAGGGGACCTCGTGTACAGTCTTGCTCGTACCTTGTTTTTCTGTTTTACTCACTTTCCACTTTTAGATTTAAAATGTGGACGCGAAAGGAACTACTAAGAAAAGCCATAGCTATTTCTAGATTTTCTTTTTGTTAATTTGTAGGCTTTTTATTTGATTGTTTGTTTGCTTGTTTGTTTGCTTGTTCACTTTATTGTCTCGACTAGTATGAGAGTGGGGGGTTTGTTTTGGTTTGCTTTCAGAACTGTTCGAAGCGAGAAGGTTGATCGTTGCAATTTTTTTTACCCTCAAAATTTGCTGCGCAATTATTTATTACTCAAACGCGTTCCTTGTAGTTATAATGACCGAAACATCAAGGGCTGGATATCTAAACGAAGATCGCGGTTAAAGCCAGTTAATACTGAGACCTCGAGTTGGGCAGTTTGAAGTAACTGAGCGTTTTTCCGGAGTTAGCGATGAGCCTTTGCATTGAGCACAAGAATCAAAGTTTCGCTTGGTATTGTAGCTCTTCACCTCTAAAGAGCATTTATTCTTTTTATCCTGCAGCAGGCCGCTGGTTGTCTGTTGAAATCCAAGCAGCATGGCGTGCCTATGACTTCCCTCGGTTTTCAAGTCAACAACTCGCACCCAGCCCTACGCACCAATCTATCTCCGTGGGCTGGAGCGAGCGTACATCAGCGCCCAGCACCCGTGGCAAAGTCCCGATCCCGGTCAAGTTCGACTGGTCTCGCTTCGAATCCCTTTCAGTTGTACCAGCAGCTGTACGATGTGTTCGGCGATAGTCTAGGTCCCAGGACTGCACACAACAACTGGCAAGACGCGGTTGTCACCAAAACTAACCAGCTTCGGCTGCAACCATTTGCACATGCGTACTTTCCCTTACGACCTCTGCCGCGTGATGCAAATATTATCAAAGAGTTGATTAACAAAGCCAAAGAGAAATTACAGACATCTGGTTCACAAAATAACACTTTTGGTACCAAAAGGAAGAGGACTTTTGACGAAGCATCAAATAAGGGTTCAAAAGACAGACCTAAGAGCAAAAGGATCTGTTTGACTTTGAGGCCCTCTTTCGTGAAGATCTCTCTTGCGCCTATGGATTTGGATCCTGAGGAACTCGGTTCATCGCGAGGCACAACGGTGGGAATATCTAGGAGGAGCAGTCAGAAGGGGCTTGTAAAAGTTCCGAGACATGTTCAGCGAGTGACAAACTGTGCTGTTGAAACTGGACGCATTCGAAGAAAGTCAAGAAAACAAAATCCCTCGCTCAGTAACAGAGTCAAGTTCGACTATCATATTGGTGTCACTTTATAACACCGCTATTCTTGTCCTTGAGAAATACCTCAAGATAACAATGTTCATGTAAATATAACTCGGACTAAATATTTACGATGGGTATTTATGCATGGTCGCGCTTCTTTTCCGTGAAGTTGATTGGAACTATTTCTTTTCCTAAATCTCTCCGAAGCCACAATTCAAACGTTTAGGGAGAAAAACTGTCAAATCAGAAGTCTTTAAAGCTTCACGTGACCAGTTCAAAGCGCGGGAAAGTAAAACGCGTGCGACCAAGTTGTGATTGTTGTTGGGTTTTGACACGGATGAGTTTGGCACGTAGCCAAAGTAAAAAGGTCGTCCATTAGACGGCGGTGGAATCATCGGGCTTCTAATGCACACAGGCAATTAAACTTGTTATGAAAGATACGGCAATTTTTGTTTTTTTTGGTGGTTTCATAGAAAAGATAAAGTTGTATTTATAATTGTTTGTCTCACGCGTCAGTCATCGTCAAGTGTTATTATTGTCAGTGTTGGCAGTACGTTATTTTCTCTTCAAGGACGACAGAACAAGTAAGCAAAATGTTCCCCTTTGCTTTTTCTGACACATCGTGGAAATGTAATACACATGGTTACATGAACAACACAGTTCTTAAGTCTAAATCCTCTTCAACGTCTGTCATTTGATAAAGCCTTTAACGTCTGTCATTTTATAAAGCCTTCAACGTCTGTCATTTTATAAAGCCTTTAAGGATCAATCAATTCGTGACTCATTCTCTGGTCATAATATGATTTATTTCGTGTATAATTGGCAAATAATTAGTTCTTATTAACCGAAAGGGAGGTCTGTATGGGAGAATCTTGACTGAGGTCGCCAGTATTGACCAAACGCAGTGAGGTCTGTCTAAGCGACCGAGGTCAAGATTGTCTCATGCAAACCTAGCTCGGTTAATAAGATGTTTATTATATGGCTGTGTCTTATATGCCAACTTTTCTTATTATTTGTACGGTTTTTTCTAGACCGGTCTTGATGCCGGTCTAGATGGGAAAATCTAGACCGCTTTCAGTATTGATTTCAGCCAATCAAATTCGTGAATTCGGAAGTTCCCAGTTCTTGTGAGACGCAGCCATATAATACTTTGTTAAATTAATTGTATAAGATTTGCAAATAAGCGAAATTAACAAGGTGAAGTAGCTTTTAACACTTTCTATTTGTACACAGTAAAAAAAGGTTTTTTCGACACCCTTCAGTCTAAATCGCGGGCAACAAACCGAGGAGATTCTCCCACGGGAATGAAGAACCCCACAAAACTTTCCAACAAGTATCTGTGAGGCACGGATTCGAATCTCGTCGAAGCCAGAATTGTTTTGATTGGGTTTCTTTTCTGCAGTTCAACTGCAAAGCTTTATCTAAACTGAGAATCATGGTACAAACTTACTAAATCATTTATCATGATCCTTTAATTAGATTCATTAAGTTCAGAAATGCTTTCGAAAAGCTTTCAGAATTCAAGAATGCGTAAAAAAGTTAGCTACTCACCAAAATTTCCGTGACCAATGGATATTTCAGACTCACTCTGGCTTAGCTGCAGCAGAGTTGTATGATAGCCTGAAGTTGGTAACAACGGAATGCAGGGCGAGTGATTTGAGTTACTCAATTTTAATACACGACTCGGGCAGTCACAGGGCCAATAACTAAAATCAACCAATCAAAATGCTCTATTGCCGGTCAATAGTCTCTCAGTATTGGACCGGGCACTGTCCCTAATGGTCCCGGATGATACCGCACTTGTGTCCCTTTGAACTTCAGTCGTATAATAAATCTCTTATTAACCAAGCTTGCTCGGGACCGTACTGGAAGAATATCGGCACTCGGTCTTTTTTGTACGGACCTCGCTGCGCTCGGTCCGTACTGTCAAGACCTCGGGCCGATATTCTCCCAGTACGGCCCTCGCGCTTGGTTAATAAGATATATATATATATATAAAGCTTAGAAGTGTATAGTCTATCTATTTTTAATAAGTAAACTATAAATTTCTATTGGAATGACGTCAGGTTATTTCTTACGTCATCTTTAAAGATAAAAGCGTGGTTATTTTGTTTTCTATGATTAGGGATAATTTTCAATTGACATCACCACAATTCTAAATTTAGAATTTTGAGACCTGTTGTCCAATTAAGTTAATTTATTTTCCTCCAAATAGTTCCCATATCCTTCACGGTGACGGGTTTACAAGTCGAAGCCATCAAGTTCAACCTTTTCAGCCCATTCAAATACAACATTAATTCTAACACCTTCGTTAGCCTCATAAGTAAACATATTTGGTTTCTTCTTGTGCTCCACTAAGAGTGCGCAGTGATGGAAACCAATAAGATTCCATTGGTCGTCAAAACATGGCGCGCCCGAGGAACCGTGCTTGGTGTCTGCTCTGTAATGCAGAAATGGCGAACTGGTATCCGACGAAGCCACATTTTCTCGAGCCCTTTTAAATGGCAACTTCCACGAGTTCTTTTTCACTGCACATCGCCGTGTCTCGTAGCGGTGGTGTTCGACGAAGTCCTTGGAAAAGAGCTTCAGGAAACTTTCATCATAGTGCAGGACGTGGTTCTGTCGCAGCACCACCATTTGGTTGCCATTTTCGGGATACTGAATGATATTCACGTGCGTGCCTGGTGCTATCGACGGCAACACCTTCTTGCAGAAACCCATTTCACGGATGGGTGTTTCACCGTCAAGCGATCTCTCGGACACGGCAATCAATGCAATGTCGAGACCTTTATCTGGATGTTTCAGGAAAAAAGTGTCCGGTTCCAGAGCAAATTTCACCTCTGACATCTGATAGAAGCTTCGGTCAGGATCGACTCGTTCAAACGACACCTCGCCCTCTTTACAATTGTTGAAAATGTGTGCAGCTGTCAGCAGGACCCTTTCGGACAACAATGTACCCGTTCCTTGATTTCCGTTCTGCAGGAATATCTTTCCCACAAACTTGCAAGCTTTATTCCCTTCGTAGAGAAAGCGGCTGCTCTGTAGCTCTCCATTGAACAGGGCTTCCTCCTCTACTGCTCTGCGCGTTGGGTTGACCAATTCCCGCAGAGCATCGAGGATCCCCAAGTGTGCCTCATGAAAGCGTTTTTCGCTGTGCCTAAAAGTAAAGACGAAAAACTCAAAATATCTGCTCCAGACAGGGTGAGTAGAACTCGCTCTTATAAAAAATGGTCTATTGCGGTACAAATCGCAGTAGACAATTGGCTATGTGAGAAAGGAGTATTTTGGAAAATCTTCTTCCCACAATTAACCTATGAACTGTTTTCTCCCTTAAACCCCATGCCTTTGCGTGCTTCCCGCTTAGCTCACTTATGACTAAAATTGGCGAGGACTGATACGCAATCTAACTCCGCTTTTCGCGCTGAAAAATGATAAATCACAGACGATAAGGACAAACCTACCTTAAGATGGCATCGACCTCATCCTCGCCATCATTTGCCCCTGGAAATTAAAGTGGAGAATTTTTCACCTCAAATTACTTGAAATGGGAAAATAGATGGTAAAAGTCATGACGGCGTAACGACTGCAGGATCGCGTGACAAAGGATCGCAACAAGAAAAGAATTTTAATCCTATGAAAGAAGATCACGCGATTGAAATCCCAAGTTCCGCCTTGATTCCTTCTTTCGATTGAATTCCTAGTTTCAGTCTATGTCAGCTAAACCGAAGCACCAAAAGTACGATTCTGATAGGCAAAAGTCTCGTTCTTAGACATGGACCGGAAATGGACAGACCGAAAGCCGCCAGCCATCGGTAAACACTGAACTTTCGATTCTTTTCTTTTGCAACATCATGAATATTTAATCTTCGATAAATTCCCATGCTCTCAAGATTTACTCCGAAGCAGTCAAAAACGATTCACTCAGCATAGAAATAGTGGATTTTAGGCGCTTGCGATATGAATAAGCAAAAGCTTTATCAAATGAGCCCTTTGGTATCTCTTGACGCTTAAGACAGAGTGGCACAACTCAGAGTAAAACATTTCGATCGCAAATTGAAATTCCGAGGAATGATAATTCACAATGATTTTAATGCTTTTCTTACCTTGGTTTGATGCTGCGGCGTTTCCAAGACTCATCGCATTAACTGAAACGAACTTGAAATGTTGGTATCGTCGCTGCTACTTCTTAGTTTTGCCGTGCCGTGAGCGAATGACCCACGGTTAGTCACGCGACATACGTTGATCAATGATCCATTGTTCCAATTTCGATTCGGGGAATCCCCAGTTTCGGGGAAATTACTCGCCGTTTGCATTATCAGACTCTTCGGAATTACAAGAATAGGGGAATAGAAATAAAATTTAGGACGTGACTTTTAAAGCGGGAGTGGATATTGAGGAATGGGAAATTGGACATGGGAGAATAATTTTTTTCAGTGCGACTCCTAATTTGTGAAACTTGCCGGTTAAAAAAACATGAATGTTTGCCTTGCCAAATTTAGAAGTTTTCGAAGCAGTACATCGAATCCTTTTGCCGAAAATTTGGGAATTTACAAAAGTTTGGCAAGTTTTTCAAGTTGGGAGTCTCACTTATTTTACGCTGAACAAAGGCAGGCTTTATCCTCTTTTTTTTTTTTAGCGCAATCTAGATCATGCGCCACATACAAAGTTTTGCTTGCGTGCAAATTGCCAAATTGTACTGCCATGTGCACTACTGTGGGGCGTTTTGAAACGTTGTGGGGAAAGGGGTTTATCTTTCACCTCGCCATGCCCATACCCCTAAATGCCCTTTGTGTTGTTCGTTGGCACAGGCAAACACCTTTGCAATCTTTACAGTTTCGAGTGTGTAATCGATTTGTGACTTACTTTTATTTCTCAGGCGCAGTCTAAAATCTTTCAGCTTAGTATTCGATGGGGTTCCCAGTTCCCAAAGATAAAATTAAATGTCTAATATCCTAGATGCGCTGTCCGGTTTAATGGAGAATTGCTGCAGTTGATAGTTTTCTCGAACACAGACCAGAGGTGTTAAAATATAAGTTTGAGTCCGAGGTATACAGTAGCGGATCTAGACCTTGAGCTAAGAAGGGAGACGTTTTTGTTTGAGTGTGTTTTCCTGCCGGCTTTTCTTCCCTCTGCGTTTAATTTTTTTACCCAAAATAAGGGAGGGGGGCGGGCCCCCCCGTATCCCTTCCCTAGATCCGCCACCGGTATATACAATGTGGCATAGTAAGGTTTTGTGCCTCTGATTGACTCTAATTTGAAACTTTTTACAATACCAGGGCTCGACACTAACGGTAGCCCAGTAGCCACAGACTAGTAGAAATTCAGTTTTGGCTAGTGGTTTTCAATTTCCACTAGTGACTTTGAAATGAGGTTATTTGAATTTAGAAAGTCATAGCATTGGAAGTGGACGACTATTTCCAGTATTTTACTCATCGTTGGCAGAATAGAAATTGGGCGATAATTTCACGCATCTGTCCTATCTCCAGTGCAGCCACTTTCGAGCATTTCAATATTTCAGGAAAATTGCCAGTGCGAATAGAGAGATTCAGTAACTTGGTGATCGAGGGACAAATAACACGCGCGCCACACTTTAAGAGTCTCGCACTGATGCTGTCCCAGCCAATAGCTTTATTTGTCTTCAGACAAAGCAGATGCTTGAGTACTGTTTCCTCGTCAACTTCGTAAAGCGAGAAATACTGTAATTTCGTGGCCGATCTGACTGGGAACATAACAGCATCTGATATTTTAATTGCAAGACTTCTGCTAATGAAAGCGAAATAATATTTGAGCACGGATGCAATAGAGGCTGGAGTGGTGTGTTCAACACCATCAGCTACGATACATTGTGGGCTCGAGGATTTAGTCTCGCGAGAAGACACCTCATTCACCGCCTTCCAGATCTTCCCTGAATCCCCCTTTGCCTCTCAGTAGAATCAAGTCACAATAATACCTGGATTTTGCTGCCTTGACTTCGCAATTAACCCTATTTCTTAGCTTTCTATAGCAAGCCCAATGATAAACAAACTGCAAGTAAACAAACTGAAATTGTCGTACCATGTAAAAACATCTAAGATGTCACTAGCCACTTGAATAGTAAGTTGAAAAGTTAGTGTCGAGCCCTGCAATAGTCAATACTACCTTAATTTTAATCGTCAAATGTTCATGGGTTGGTCTAAAGTTAACTCAATGTTGTTTGTTGTCAAAATTATGATTTTTCCAGAAACTTTAATACAAAAAATTGATTAAGCTCTATCTCCGCCGTTCTTCAATCCTCTCGAAAGAATCTCTCCTCTTCAAGGGAGGACCGTCGGCTCATTCATCGATCAGCGGCTGGTAATCGTAAATAAAAACTGAACCCTCGAATTCGAACTCGGCACCGCACCTTCTTTCTAGGCAGTTCTCTGATTGGCTGCGACTTACTCAGGAATTTTAAAGAACCAGTCAATCAGATGCTACGCTGATCTCTTCATAGCTGCCTCTTTCGGGCAAAATCCCAAAGTGTTCTCGTCGGCGGCAATAGCTGAATTTGCGACAGAGAATCGACTTTTATCCACCAAAACATATCTCCCTTTTCAGAGCAGCTGTTGTGCTTCTTTTCATGGGAAACTCATTTCTCGTTTTTAGATGTTTGCATATCGGGTTCCCTTGAGCTGAAGGAAGGAGCTGCACGTCTTCTACCTTGCAACATTCTGAGACATTAAATTTTTCATTCAGTCATGGTACATTCTCACGATGCACTTTTGGCAGACGGTCATGTAACGTGAATACACTGGGATCAAGCGTTCCAGACTAATTCTGTAAAGTAAAGAGCCAAGATTACGGTCAAAGAAACTTGAAAATGAGTGCTGCCAACAGAGCTACCTCATGCTGTGTGTCTATACAAAATCTAGTTCTAATTTATCAATCTTACGGCGAAAGAAACTTGAAAATGAGCGCTGCCAACAGAGCTACCTCATGCTGTGTGTCTACACAAAATCTATCTCTAATTTATCAATCTTATCGGTATAAATCCATGTTAAATACCCTCCCCACCCTAAATTATTCTTGTTCTCTTTTTGTTTTTTTTTCCCTTTTCGCGTTTGTTTACCCCAGCTATCTTTTGCTGTGTCGCTCTCGTGTACCGCAGCATTACACGCACTTGACATGCGTGCAATTCTACGTTTTGCACGCGCGAAACACACACACAAAAATGGACGCATGTGAGTGTGGATCAAAGTTTTTTTTCGTCGAATGATAACTTTCTCTTTCAGAGCCACAGTATCGCTTTCGACACGAAACAGTTCTCCGAGCGTAAACTTCTGTATGAAGATCTGCAATTTTACCCAGAATATTTCAAAGCAACTTTCCTTGATCTCATTTCTGAGGTGGCGTCTTGCTTTTATCTAACACTCATTAAATTGAAATTAAGTCCAAATATGGTCAATCTCTCTTTTCCACCTGTCACAGACGCTCTCTAGTAGACGCCCTTTCGATTTGCACCTGCATTCATCGCGTTCATTGGATATTTACAAGAGATTCTCTGTGCCGTAGAAAGTGATTCTATTGGTTTTATCATTCAGCGTCCGTATACATGTCTAGTGCATATACCTGTGCAAAGATTCCAATCTGCCGCAGGTATCCACCAAAGAACCGAGAAAAATGTCCGTCTCATTCGCAACCCACTCTTGCTGCTTGCACGATTCGATAAACTACAAAAAAAAAAAACAACAACAGAAAAAAAAAAAACGTAAGGAAGACTAATCTGGGCTGCAGAGACATGGTGCCGGGGTGAGAGCCATCACATCTGCTCGCTCTGGCCTGGATTCGATTCTAAGACCTGACGTCACCAGTAGATTTAGTTTCTTGTTGGTTGTTTGTCCGTGCTTGGATTTTTTTTTTTCAAGGCTTCTCTGGTTTCTTCCCTCCACACACACACACACACACACACACGCACGCACGCATATACACACGCACGCACGCATGTACACGCGCACGTACGCGCACACCCTCAAAAAAGTAAAAACAACACATAAAAAAATTAAACGAAAGGTAACGAAACGAAACAAAATCAACTAAAAAGGACAAAAAAGAAAAAAATACCTCCAGACTTTAATTTCAACCTGGAAGACATTCCACAAAGAGTCATCCATGAAAAAACAACACAGCTTACTTCCAATTACCTTTTCTACAAAGTCACTTAAAACATCCTTGACTTCTTTACTGTGTATGAGACCGGCGGCAATATTTAGGAGACCTCGACAAAGACTCTATAGAGAAAGTGATAGAGGACATTTTCGCGGGCTCTCTAATGTGGTAAAGCCACGCAGGATGTTCCACGAGGAAAGCTTAAAAATCCCGAGCCGAAGGGGAGTAATTGATCGGCTTTCCGAGTGTTCTCCCAACATCCCAAGTGGCTTTATCAAGTTATAGAGCCCGCAAAAGATGCGGTCTATTCCTTTTATGATATAACTGGTTACATGCGGGCTCTATTTAACACCACAGCGTACACTATTGAGTTATGGTTGCACGCGGGAGGTTGCTAAGCACGAAAGAAGCGTAAGAGTCGCTCAAGGCGATAGCCAAGAGCGACTCTAGCTTCTTGCTCACTTATCTGCTCTATGCTCACTTTAATACTCTATGCTCACTTAGTCATTACCTTACATTGAAAGGGTACGCGTGTTCAGTCGCGTGTAACTCGTTGCGTTACACGTTTTCACGTATTGTTCGTTAAGCATTGTGGAGGCATGCTGTCAAAAAATAGAAAACTGTAATTTTGTAGGTGCTCCGGTGAATACGCTTTCTCGTTTCACCTTAAACGTTTATTTTCAATAAACCCGGTTACACTGCCGAAGAAGAGTTCTGACCTCGTCTATTTTTCGGGTAATGGATCAGAGCTTGATGGATCGGAACACGTTGTGTGACTGGCATCAAAAAATTCAGTTTTGATTNGCTGAGCTATTGTACTGCCAATTAGATCTCTTGTTTTTCCACGTCCTCGTTGCCGTCGCCGTCGTGGTTGCTTAAGGTCCCTATTGTGATTCATGGTACTCTGATGTAAAGAAAGATTTTGTTTTACTTAAAAAGAAAAAAAAAGATGCAAACTTTGTTGGATGTTAGGTAAGGAGGCCAGAAAGAAATTGAATAGAATACCTTGAAGTTGCTCTCCACAGATTTGGCCAACTTTTTAGTGAACCGCTTAGCTATATCATTGCAAACCAAGCTGAAACAAAAAAAAAAACATTTCCTAATTATAGCCATGTTCTTGAAATGTTTGAAATTATTTAAATATATATATATAAAAAAAAAATTATGAACTGAGGCACCTTTGCCCTTGCAGTTTTCTGTCTGATCCTGTTGTTACAATTTCAAAACAGTAAAGTTCTTCTGGCCATTAGAATTGTTTTGAGGTCCAGCTTGTAAACCATCACCTTGTGAGGCTTCAGTAAAACAACTTTCTTAAAAGAAAAGCAACTGCAAATTTGTTTGAAGTTGTTGAACAAACCTTTTGTGCTCGTCCACAATCTCTCTGTCATTCACAAACACCTTCAGATCTCTCAGCTCTTGTAGAAACCCTCTGTCAAACTCAGCACCAGTATCTCCAACATCAGCTGAACACAAATAAATCAGGATTGTTTAAGTTACAGTTTTTGGCATTCCAATGGCACCCACCCACCCACCTTTTGCATAATTTATTTGTTCTTATAAACACCAAAAGATTCAGAACAAAAATGCTCAAAAGCACTGGTCATGCCTTAAAATCTACTTCATAAATCAATTTGTGTCTAATATTCACATGAATTGAAACTGTGTTACCACACACACTACGAATTCTAGCAAATGGTAGACTTAAAAAATTAAAGTAGTTCTTAATTCTTCACAATATGAAGATGCTTACAGGTGACAACTTTGAACAAAGGTAGTGAACATGACTCTATAAATGGTAAGTAAAAAATTGAAAATTAATCTAAAGCCTCGTTAGAACTTCTACGTGGATTTCAGAGCAACAGAGCATTGAGAGAATAACGAATGACTGAAAACATGAAGAAATGATTAAAGTAATAAAAAACAGGACAAATGAATTAATGTATCAATGTGCAAGTGAAATAGAAAGAAATGAAATGAGAAAAAATAGATTAAACCATAAAATCTTAAATACAGTTAGTTAACGTGCTTTTCAGGTTTGACATTATTTTCACTTTTAACTGACAGTAATGTATCTAAAAATAATGATGTTCCAAAAAATGCCCAGTCATCTAAAACAATCATGACAGTGAAATATATATATCAAAACAAAACCTCTGTTAATTCCTATCAAATCAACTTAACGTTTTATTTGTTTATTTCTCTTTAATCTTCAATCCCTCCCTGCTACTTTTTTTTCCTTGTTTCCAATGGTTTTTTTAAGTAATTATTCAATTTGATTGAAAAAAAGGCAAGTTTAAACAAGCACCAACAAAGAGCAAAAGGAAAGAGGCAATAAAAAATTCTAAAGATTTTTGGCCCGGAAAATCTCTCATAATTCTATTTTAAAACCCTTTAACTCCCAAGAAATTCTTCCTGTAATCTACCACACAATTCTCATGATGTTAGTTATGTGAATTTGGTATTGGATCAACTAATAATCCTTCCTCAACTGATATTCTTCTATATTCTCATCACTTGTCTGCTTGATATTGTATTGATATTGTAAGGAGAAATTCTGTCTTGGTCACTCATGGGAGTGAAAGGGTTAAAAGTACAGTGAGAGTTGACGATTTTCACCTCTACAATAAATTATCAACTGATATTCTAATTACAAAGATTTTCATCAACCACTTTTTTTTATAGACACTGACCAATGGAGCCTTCTACTGATCCCACTGTCCAGTGATCTAACATCTGCTCTGCACAGAATGCAAGGTCATCAAATGAAAGGTAGGAAAGCCTGACAAGTAAGAAACAATTTCTGCATAAATCACAGTGTGCCTGTACCTCTAGGACAGGTGTGGCTCCCTTCATAAGGGCACTTTCATAGACCACTGAGGCACTGATACCCCCACTCATCTCTCTGTGATACTGCTCTTCCCACTCACTCCTTTCCCCTTCTTCCTACTCATTCCTTTCCCCTAAAAAAAAACCTCTAGGATCCATTTAACACTGCATTGATTCCTACCTGTACCCAAAATTTTCACTTTATGTCAATCTGTACATTAGCAGCAAAGAAGATTTGGAAATTACAATAATCGTTCTTAGAACCTTGTATCCCATAACACATTGAATTCAATCTTCACTACCATGAATTGTCACTTTACATGTCATTCCAATAAACAAACCTTTTCTTTCCTGTTTCAATTTTGTTGATGGCCATGAAGCAGATGCATGCATATTGCCTGTTTAAAAAGTTCAAAGCACAAGACATTTGAAATGACCTTTTTGTAAGTTAAAGAACAGAAATTTAAAGGAATCTCCAATCAAGTGATACCCTAAAAACCAAAAAAAAAAATTATCCCGTAAATGGAAATTAAGGCACCTTCAATGAAGATAACATGTAAATAAAGATTATAGGGCATCCATAGAAAAATGTCAGCCAGAATATGGCAAGACATTTGAACCAAACATGGGCCTAACATCAACCAGACAAGAGCTGAACCAGACAGAGAGGCAAAAAGAACCTGACACAGAGCAGAAATGAGCATTAATCAACCTCCCCAGGGCCAGACAAAATAAATCTTAGACAATGGGAAACAAGCCTGACACAAACCATGCAGAATGTTCATTAAGACAACCTCTTAGTGCGGGAACATTTACATTATACATGACTGCATTTTCAATTGTGCTCACAGTAAACCACACATTACAAAGTTTTAGCTGTAAGCTCACACCAGGTGAAGTGAGCATATATGTAAATGTAATAATTTGGATGTATCAACAAAGTTGAAATGGTAAATTGGCCACCGTAACGATTACAAAAGCTGACGTTTCGAGCGTTAGCCCTTTGTTGATATATCCAAATTATTTCGCTACTCCCACCGACGCAGCCCCAAACAGTTTCTTTCGAAACTATCCACCTTTATTCATTTATATGTAAATGTACCCTTGCAAAAGACCCCTGATGTCAGCTCAAGTTATTTTATAAGGGGCTAACTCACAGAGTACTATGATAATCTCATCATGATTTTTCTCAGATTTTAAAACCTTTAAACACTGAGATAAAACTACCCAGTGACATCACTTGTTGAAGATGTCTTAAAAAGAAAAGAAAAGTTGTGTTGATAGAAATTCAAACAGTAAATTTTAATGATTGTCTACCTTGCCAATGAATCTGAAAGAAGAAACAACTTCTTTACAGTATCTGGAAGCCCACCTCCTTCAGTCTCTTCTATTGTCCTGAGAACATTCTTGACATTGTCAAACTAGAAAATGCACATACATGAAGCATATTAGTAGTAAATAACAAAATTAAAGAAACAAGTTGATATCCAAGGTGAATGTAATTCTTATTATTTTATATTAGATTAACATGAAAAGTTACATTGATTGACAACACACCTGTCGGCGACAACTTTTGAGGGGAATATTTGTCTTTTCACTGACATCATCCAAATCTTTCCGTGCACGTCCAGTAAGCTTTTTCCCCAAAAGTTCTCTCACCACCTCCTTGTCAAACTGATAATATCTGTTGACAATATATGATGATATCACAAGTTTAAATGATGGTCCTGTACTTTCAAAGCAAAGGAGATAGATTAAACTGCTGTGTGGCTGCTTTAGAAACCTCTGTTTCTTGATAAATCACCAAATTCTCTGCACCAATTGACAACTGAAGAAAAAGTATTCTCCAACTAGAATTATGAATTATGCATTGAGTCATTTAGGTTGAGAAAGTTAACCTACCTTTCAATTAATATATCTTGAACATCAGGGGATATTTGCAACAACATTTGTGTGGCAAGCATTGGAGGCGATTGAAGAAAACGTTCCAGCATGTAAAACAATCGAAATTGATCCTGAGTGTCGCTGGTGATGATCGCATGAGAGGCACCATAATTCTTGAATTTGTCATCACATTCCCTCCTCTGAGCTGCTACATTTTCTAATTGGCGAAAGAAAGATAAATTTATCAACCTTTCAACTCCCAAGATCTGGTTGTTAATTCTTCCCTCTATAGCTACTACACATTGTCTCGTAAATTAGTTAAATGAGAATTTGGTGTTTGATCAAGGTAACGACTTGACTACCTAATGAGTTTGAACATTCTCATGGTATGAGTATTAAATGGGAGAAGTTACATGTTAATCACTTCTGGAACTTAAAGGGTCCAAAAATTACCCATTTGTTTGTAGACCCGATAACTATTCAAACGAGTAAAAAAACATGCTACCTGCATCAACAATTGGACAAAATCAGTCTGGAATGTTTAGTCGGTCAAAATGAGTTTATCAGGCATAGTGTAAATGGAAACAGGGACTTTTTGTGTAGAAAAAGTTTTACAAAACTTTGAGAAACTGCCGCTCAAGTCAGACGAAATTAAAAAAAATAAACTCTTTCGACCGGGTGCCCCCACAAGCAGGCAGATATAGTATTAGCTTTTTTTTTTTTTTATCATGATCTCGAAGAGAAGAGAAGAATCAAGTGGGTAGCATTATATTTCGTTCATTTTCAAATAACAAATAGGCTGCCTTCGAATTTTATTGACAGCTACTAACCAGAGAATCCCTGCAACCACAGGTCATACACGTGAGGATCAATAAAGGTTGGATCCATGATGAATACATCTATGTTTTCCATTCTTTTCCTATGAGTGACAAGCGACGGGCTTTATGTAGATTTTGAAATCAACACACTGTCTTAACAAGCGCCAAAAACGAGTCCTTTATTCTCAATATGCTTCGTGTCCCTCCTGCTAAATTCCTGCCATCTTGAAGATTACGGGGCTCATCTGAGCCAGAGGTCTCAAAATAACAAATTTTCATTTTGTGTAAGACACACCAAATAGGGAAGTCCAAAGTGTCGTTTCGGCTCTGTCCAGCGGTCTGTTTATGGCTTACGAGGTGTTCAAAGCCATATGCTACCGTTCAGGTATTTTTTTAAGCTGCTTTTTAACTCAGTTCCTTCGTTATTTCCCCATAGACATCTTCAATAGCCGAGTAAATCATACAGAAATCCCCCAACATTTTTTAACCGAAGGCTATATATGTTGGACAAAGGAGGCGCGGTGGCCTCATGGTTGGTGCGCTCGACTCCGGATCGAGTGGTCCGGGTTAGAGCCCCGGCCGGGGACATCGTGGTGTATTCTTAGGCAAGACACTTTACTCTCACACTGCCTCTCTCCACCCAGGTGTATTACATGTAAATGAGTAGTGGTGAATTTAATGCTGGGGGTAACCCTGCGATGGACTAGCATCCCATCCAGGGGGGAGGGGGTGTAGAAATACTCCTAGTCCCTTCATGCTACGGAAACCGGAGTTAAGCGCCGGCCCGATGAGCCACATGGCTCCTAATTAGGCTTTCCCTACCTTACCCTATATTGGACAAAGTGAAGAAAAAGCCGCCATTTTAGTTGTCATAAAAGGTCATGCATGCCCTAAGATAGATCGTAATTAATGATCAGTCTTGTAAAATGAAAGCATACCTTTCAACGCCACTCACCTCAACCCACGCAACAATTCCAGCGGCTCAGAGCTGTGTAAAATGTGTGAGGGGGTGGGGGGGCAAAGTCCAGAAGAGGATCCAGGGGACTACAAAGTGTCGCGTTATTGATAATGGCATTTCAACTGAGTAACTTGAACACACTAAAAAAATCCTTTCAAGTTGAGCGACTGAAATATTTGAGGAAAATGAAAGACAATTATTATCGTTACTTTTGAATAGTTTATTAATTCATTACTGATCTTCCCTTGTGAAAGTTGCTTTAGTTGTATTTCGTTTTCGTCAAATGTTATTGTTATTGGTTTCGTGTGGTCTAATTTCTTCCACACCCCACCCCCCCTTCCCTAACCCCTGGACCTATCTACTCTCTAATCAGTGAACTAACACTGGAAGCACATTTCGTGCTCAGGCTAGGGTACACATGAACTTTTATGAAGACAAAAATATATAGCGGGGATCGCTTTCGTGTACATTCTTAAAACCGCAGTGCATATATACGATTTTCATATATTCTCATTCGGCGGGTACGCGTTTTTCTCATCATGTACGTCTTGATTTACTTTCTCAAATCTTATTTCTTAAAATCGTTTTGAGGATAACATCTTTCATGTCTTCTATTTACGTAAAAGCGCATAAGGATGCTGATCATGAGAACCTGCTCCTTTGAAGACTTAATTGTACCGAATGCTTCTTCCTAAACCAAGAGATCAGAGGGGCCTTTGATCAAATCTCTTGACCTAAGCCGATGCATACGATTCACATTTTAAAATTTTATGATAATCTAACAACCGGCTGATAATCCAACAACTTCTAAATTTTCTCTTTTGTTCCGTCCTCTTACAAACTAAATTTTTCTTATCTGACCTTGAATCTGGGATATAAGAACTGAATTGCAGACTTTGATAACTTTTCTGGCCCTTTTGCCAATTATTTACCTGATGACTTCCTTAGTTTTCAAAAACGACAAACCGGTGTAGAATGGTAATTTTAACTTGATCAAACTGCAAATCGCATTAAGAAAAGTGTTGCCAGATTGCTTGCAAACATAATATGTTGTTTTGTTATTAATTACCCATAGCAATTTAGCGATTTGAATTAAACAAAATTAACTCGTCGATTAACCATGTGTTATTGACGTTTTCACGCTTTGTACTGACATTGCATAAAATTATCACTGGGTCCTTCAATACCCTCGACAAATTGGCACCAATGAATGCAAAGTCATCTAAAAATATCTCGAAATGAGAGAGCACTGCATCAAAAAGTAATGTATTTAGAATTTACTGATGCAAGCTCGTTGGTCTCGACTCCGCATATTCGTCTCGATTACTGAACGAAACCACCGTTGTAGTTGTTTTGTTGCCAAAGAACGGAGTGCTTCGTCTTTCATCTGGCCACCGCACTGCCAGCGAGGTACCGGGTAAGAACTCTCGTGTTCGCCGAGGATCCAGCATTGTCTGCAACCTGGATGGATACCTCTGCTCGCGAGATCCGAGCGGGTAGCATTGGCGCGCTACACTACGCATAGTATTCCGCATCTCCGGATTCCGGTAGCCATACAGGATTGGATTTAGAGCAGAGTTTGTGTAATGCAAGGCCTTCACGGAGGCTATCAGCCGGAAGAGTCCTGGCGGTTCAGGTAAGCGCTCCAAATCGTACGTAGCTACCACGGTGACAACAAAGAAGGGGAACCACGCGATCATGAATACTCCAGTGACTAGCGCCACTGTTCCCGCAACACGAATTTCTCTGTGAATGGAGGGGGCTGCTCCTCCGGCGTGAATCCTGGACCTCGAGTGCCTTGCTGTCTCGTAGATTAAGAAATAAACCCCAGACATGACGATAAATGGTCCGATGAAGCAAGTAGAGAAGATAAATGCCGTGTAGCCTTTTTCCCAATGTTTCAATTGAACCGGGTACAATCCTGCCACGATTGCAGAACAACCCCATGCGGTAAGAATCATCGCATGAAAGATCCCTTCGCGAAGGGCTCGGTGTCTGATCGGCCAGACAATGGCGATGCATCTCTCTATACTGATGGCAGTAAGTTGAAAGATCGATGCACATCCAATGAACACGTCGAATGTGATGTACATTTCATATGCAACCGGATGCAGTGTAATTTTGAAGTGATGGCAGCTGTATACATACACCCAAAAGGGGATTGAGACGAACCCCGCTAATAGATCCGACACGGCTAAACCAAGTATGAAAGTGTTTGTAGTAGTTTGAAGTCTCCAGTTCTTCTCGTAAGCGGAAATTACCACCACGTTTCCCACAAGGATTGCAAGGAACACGCAGCTGTAGAACAGTACACTTACGACAAATTCTCCGGTTGTGATAAACTTGCCATGATTAGAAAACCACGCGGAAGTCGGACTGGCTAGTTCTGAAACTGTTACGGTTGAAACATTTGCCAGAGAACCCGTTTGAAAAGTTGTATTCATGTTTATCCAACTCTGCAGTATCTCTTCGATCTTGCTTAGCTATGAACGTTAGTGGAACACTGTTTCCATGAAAACCAAGAAACTTCAAGGATCATATTTGAGCTCGTCGACAATAGATCTAGAGCGACATGAAATGCGCAGCAAAAGTGACAACTGAGATCACTTTATGAACAGATGGATTGCAAGGGTTTCTGCATAATTTTGAATCTGTTAACCCGACAACAATAATTACAACGCAGATAACAAAGCCATCCGCTTCATATCGCTGCGTCCCGAATGGTTCATCATGACAGTCATTTGTCAAATTCTGGGACTCGCTTGAGCAATGATGGCTATAGTGTGAGGTCTGACAAAGAGTTCAATTAGAACTTCAATGCTTCAATACTTAACATTCTTTTCGATCGTGACTCTGGCGTCCTTTTAACACATGCGCACTAGTATCATTTCCTTACAGTACCTATAAATACTTCGTTAAATGAATAGTGGTGGTCGCACCAACAGTACTCTATTCATAAGATTCCCTTCCCAGCAGGTGAATATAAACCGACAGATATCTCTATTGCACATAAGGTATTTGTAGACGCCATTAGCACGCTTTTGTTTGGCTCGTCATCTAAAACAATAAACCCGCAGAGAGTTCCACTCAAGCATACAAGTCGTAAATCAATGGCGAGCCAGATCTTGGTTTCGGGTCAGTTATTTCACCGGCCCCGTTTGTTTCCTTTGCAATTTGTGATTGATTTCAGCTCAAATTGTGATTAAAAACATCCAAGAAAGTCACGAAATAGTAAATGTTATTGAATGTTATTTTTGACCTCGACAAGTTTTTGTTATTTTGAAACAGTTCTTCTTGCTTGAGTTTTTAGAAAGCTTCTCAAACAAAGTCTGGACAGCCACGTCAAATAAGACAACACTAAGAGCGCGCCTCGTATTCTTCAATTTTAAAACCCTTGACGTCCGCTTTGAATCCCCTTTAAAAATCCTTCACCTGTCAACCTCAGGTAGTGCTTTTACTAACGTGAAATCAAACAAATTAATAAAAAGACAAACCAAAAAATTAAATACGACCCCCCCAAAAAAACAAATCAAAACAAAACAGAAGAAAGAATTTTCATTACCTATCCTCTTTATTTGTCAATAATAAAATAGGACGTAGATTCAGACCTCCAATTTTTAAAAAACGTTGGCATCTGAACATACTTATGTAATGAATTATAAAAAATCATGCACTGTAATTGGCATAGGAAAAATAACAATAACAATAATAATAATAATAATAATAATGATAATAATAATTAAAAAATTGTTGTCAGTAGAACATTCTACCGACAACAACTATTCACTTTACTCTGATAATGACTTCCGTACAAGTTGTCGAAACGTTAGTCACTACCACCGACAACAGTCCTTCTCAGGACTACACTCACCCGGACGATCACACTACACTTTCACAATAATAATAATAATAATAATCTTTACACAGGATAACCCCGTTAGTATGATAGACGCTAGTTTTACAGGGGTCCTGTAATGTTTTAATCCAAGTCATCGCTAATATGGAAATGCCGTGATTTGATTCTTGAGTCGCTAATTTCTTATATGGAAATGCCGTGATTTGATTCTTGAGTCGCTAATTTCTTATATGGAAATGCCGTGATTTGATTCTTGAGTCGACCCGAACTGGATATTTTAGACAAGGTAAATTAACCCTTTCACTACCTAATCTCACAACTAATATAATTCTTCTTACTGGCTGTTACACAGTTGTTGTGATGGCACTTAGAGAATTTGGTTGCACATATTTCTAGTAAGATTATTTAAATTTTATACGCTGAGTCAGATGACTGTGACATCATCAAAGAACATTCTACATTCCGATTGTTCCGGCCTTATGTACCTTATTTGCAATTCAAACACTAACAAACAAACAAACAAACAGACAAAAGAACAAATAAAAACATGCAAACTCAGTTCTTAAGTGTCCTTTAATAAGTATCCGGCTACGCAGTTTATACCAGTCGATTGTCTAACACGATGGTACATTGGACGCCTCAAGCTCAAACTCATAACTTGCCTAGCTGTCGGTTTTGTAAAAGCTTCGAGCTACAGAGCGGCAAAAATGAGCGATGAAGATAATTGCTGAAGGGGTTCTAATCGTTTTTACTGATTCGTTGCTTTCACTGTAACATCCCCGAAGAAAAAAACCTCGGCCAAGTTTTGAAAGTGAGATGCATTCCACGAATTTTGAGGACTTTAGGGCGCTAAACGTACTTGCAATTTAGCCTGGGAATTGAAGCGAAGCTGTTGCTATAGCCTCTTATATTTGTTGTGCATGAGAAACATAATTATTTACCCCCCACTGGTTAATTTCCTCAATGTGAACTAATGAAAATCTTTGCACTAGCGATTAAGAAAAAAATTCATCAAGGGGTATCGAAACCTGTCTGAAAAGAAAATTTACCTCTGGTTTGGAGAGAGTAAACCGTACTTATTTTACAATGCAAATGAAGCGCCGCGTTAATAACACTGCAGTAAACAAAACATTGATCTTTTAAAAATAACTAACTTACGTCAAATGCTCTGTGGCTGAGAGCCCTCGGGGGGGAAGATAGTTCAGTGACATTAATAAACATTCTTCTCATCGAAGTTTCGAGGCGTTTAATCACCACTTTTGCAGGCCGGGATGTGAAAAAAGTTATGGAAGCAAAGTCGCTCTGATTGTCACACTGCATACGTAAATGACTTAATTCATCACTTGGTCTTCATGAACGGTTAGATTGCAACCTTTATACTGAGTTCGCTGCTAGGTTGCTGTTTAACATTGTCGCTTGTTTGAAGTAATTTGCTTCGAATCTTTGATCCCGACTTGGACGAATAAGGTAAGCGATATAGCACCGAAGGTTCAGTGCGTTGTATGAACGGTGGTGCGTGCATTCTTGCTCTGAATGCGAGTTATTACTCACTAATCACTTGTATTCAGGGAAAAACTTACACACAATAAGATTTGTAGTAATGCAAATCAAAACCTCGAGCCTTGATCGCACGAAATCACCCCAGCTTTCAACATCGTGTTACGGAAGTTATCCCTTTCTTCTGTCAAACAAATTTAGAAATCAATAGTCCCTTTTTTCATGGAAATAACTGATTCTAACATTTCAATGGCTTGATTTTAGTCTTTCTTGCGCGTCTGCTCTAAGCAGGTAACAGTTAAGGCACTGTTTCTGAGCTTTAGTATGCGTATGCAAATCACGCAACAAGATTCAGAGTAAAATTGTCAAAATAGAGCTTGTCATTCCCCTCTTTACTTTATAAAACTGTGAAAGTAAAGGTCTTACATCTTCCAATCTTCGAACTAAAGTCTACAGCTTAAAAGGCGACGTATATTCTAGAAAAATGATAAACTGTCAAAGTAATTTTTCTTTCTTAAAATTCTTAGAGCAGTGAAACGTTTGCGGTTTGTTGTGCTTGTTAAGGTTAGCCAGCACGTTTGTTTAATTTTTTTACGATTTAAAAATGCCTTAGAACTTAACTCAAGTTATATTTCAAGCAAAAGCGGCTTATATAGGAACCGTATTTCATGATTAAAAATCATTACAATGACAAGAATTCCGAAAATGCGTTGAAGCAGAATCGAACGTAACATTTTGCAAAATGAATTAGTAATCACGACTTCAAAGTGTTATTTAGTGCACTTGAATGATTTCTTTTAATTTCAAACCACACGTACACTCTTGAGAAATAGTGTCAAGTGAATAATTTGACATAGTTGCTTGATCAATATGTTATATTTTTAAAAAATAGTTTAAACGGGAGAAGACGATTTTCAAGTAACTTCTCAATCAAAATTTGCGTCGACACTAGAAAAGTATTATTGATAAAAAATTTCAGGTTCAGAAAGTGTAAACGCAAGAATTTGTTCTTAGAGTTTTTGTCATTTTGTGCCTCTTTCCTGTTTTCTCATATAATTTATGCGGACAGTGAGCAAGTTGACCCCAATGGGAAGGCTTTCAGTCTTCCCTACGATTTGCAAATCCATGCATCTGTTTATTTCACTGAAACTATACTGTTTCTCTCAGTCCAAAACTAATATTATTATTTGAGTTGAATTCACTGGAATTGTTCTCCTCTTACGCTTACATCAAGGAGAGCCAAGTTAATACTAGCATATGGAGCATCCACAACTTGTTGTTGCAAAGGCCTTAATCAAAACAATTATTTAACAACAGACCTCGAAATTGCAATCGCTTGATAGTTGATGAGAAAGAATCGCGAATTAACCATCATTCATATAAATCGAAAGCAAATAATGCAGTTGTTCTGCTAATAGTCTAATGGTCGTTCAAATCTTAATTACTGACAAGATAGGCCCATGGTCTTTTTTTCATTTTGTTTTCAATTGCTCTACAACCTAAGGCTGGATAAGTTGGATAGCCAATCAGATGCCTGCATTTATGATAGTTTATGATATTTTTATAAGGGTAATTTCGAGATCGTTTGTCCGGGGGTAAGTTGAAACGACTTTATCAATTTTGATGCAAAAAGAAAAAAAAAACCATTATCACTAGCAAGGTTTTGACACCAGACCTCATTTCGAAAGTGAGGACGTTTAGAACTCGGAAAGGGTTCGACTGAAACTTGGTTCGTTTTCGTTTCTTCCTTCTTACTTCCCATGGTAAAATATTACTCCAGACTTAACTATAGTGATCTACTGACTCACTGTGCCGTTATCAGCTGCGAAGAGCCAAAGCGCTGCGGCTGAGCTCCTAAAGCACAATTATATGTATCTAGAAACCCAAGTCTGATTGTGAATTCTCCCCTCTAGCCGATATAAACACATTCCTTGGTAGACCAGTTACGAGAATTAATTTGGTGTTAGATCAAGATAGGAACTTCTACCTCATAAGTTTGAGTATTCCTGTTATCTGTTTGCTGGATCATGTATGGATGTTATGAGGAGAACATGTTAATCACTTCTGGAAGTTAAAAAGGCTAAACAAATGCTAGCGCTAGCAACAACACTCGATCAGGAAATTACTACAATAACTGCGGTAATGAATAAATGGGGAACTGTTTTAGGTTTTATTATCGTTTGAGGTGCAGTGAACGTAAAACATGAAATGAGGATCATAACATTTAGCAAGTTGTACATCTGAATATAAAATCGAATTGCTTTAAACTCTTCGAGGCTCTCTTTCTTCTGTAATGGTACCGAGATTTCTTATTTACTCTGCTAAGAGAATCTGGTGGTATTTCAAGATAAAATTCTCTAACAAGACCCATTTATACTGTCAATTCCCACCATCTGTTTGCTGGAAAATGACATGGCGTTGTGCCAGCAGCAATTTAACGCGACTTCCTGTGGAGTTTGAGGGTCGTTTTAAACAGTGGTTATTCTTTGTAATGAAAACAGCAATCTCTGAATCAAACAGGCCCTAAATTGTACCTCAACCTGTAATTCAAAATCATCAAAAAAACAAATAGTAAGACTTCTGGATCATTAAACCAACGGTGACTGTTTTAAACTCGGGTGTTTGGGTGTCTGTTCTGATAGATCCACAAATTGTTCCGCTCTCCGCAACGTATATTATTAGGGTAAAAACTA